CCCTCCCCCCCGCCCCCCCCCCCCCCCCCCAGACAGGGTTTCTCTGTGGCTTTGGAGCCTGTCCTGGAACTAGCTCTGTAGACCAGGCTGGTCTCGAACTCACAGAGATCCGCCTGCCTCTGCCTCCCAATTGCTGGAATTAAAGGCGTGCGCCACCACCAAGTATGATTATTTGGGGAGAGACTTGGCTTGAAGGTTTCAGGTGTTCCCGATTCTCCAGTGTGACTTTCTCGAGCTTCACCAGGTGTTGCTTTAACAGGACGCAGCCTGGCACAGATGCACACGTAATGACAGTTACACGAGACGGCAGCTTATGCCACAGCTTGATCGTTTTCCTCTCCAAAGCCGCTCTCCTGTATGTTTCTACTTCTCTGTAAATAAATGTGCATGTGCTAATTGTCCTCTCGGTATTTCTGAAGACTCAGGTTTTATTTTAGCTGCGGTTGCTGTAATGTCAGTGGAGAACCGTGCTTCAATTCTTTCACTTAATTCAGGATCCATTTCCTGTCCGGTCTGCTTCTATCCTGAGGGCTTTGACTTTGCGTGTGGCTCACGTGCAGAGCCTGTGCCTTGCCTGACCTATCTTTGTGTTGCTTGTGTTTCACTTGTGCCTCTCACACCCATCCTAAGTGCTTGCTATTCCTGTAAGGTTTCCGGTAGCTAAAATCCGCCCATGTACCCCACTGTGTACGGGCCAGCTAGATAGATGGAAAGGTGACAGGGACATGCCTGTGGGAGAACGTAGATTTGTGCTCCCACCTGTCTGAATACTGTCAAGTGTTTTACGATCTCGTAACCCAGCTGGTGAGAATCAGTGAAGGATGACTTCTTCGTGTCCACTGTATGCAGATGTAATGCTATGCTGGTGAAATGCGGCACTCCACTCTGCTGCAACGCTCCCCTGCAACTGGATGAAAAGGAGTGTTTCTCCTCTCCAGCTCACTGCCGCACCTCCCACAGCCTCTGGGATGCAGCGTCCCAAAGGAGACAGCTGGTCTTCTGCTTAGACAGTTCTCACATCTGAGCCCCGCGAGGCCGGGCTAGCACTCTCCCTCTTCTGTACTTCCGTGGTTAAACATTTTCTTGAAGGTGACTGCTTTCCTTAATATTCTCTTTAGGTTTCTTAACCACCTTGGGCAACAGTCTCCAGGTGAGCTGGCTAGTTTGGGTTTTTTGTTTTGTTTTTAATAAGTTTGGTACAAGCTAGGGTCATCTGGCCTGTGGGCATGTCCGTGGTGCATTTGCTTGATTAAAGATTGATGTAGGAAGGCCACGCCCACTGTGGATGGGGGTGGGGGGCGGGGGGGGGCAGGTGGTACCTAAGGTATTAGAAAGCAGGCTGAGCAAACCACGGAGAGCCAACAGAGAGCAGCGATCCCTCATGGTCTTTGCATCAGTTCCTGCCCTAAGTTCTTGCCCTGACATCCCTCCGTGATGTGGGAACTGTATGAGTCAAACCTTTCCTCCCTAGGCTGTTTTTGGTTATGGTAGAAACCAAACCAGGACACCAGGGTCAACCCTACAGAATGGCCTGCAAGTTACCTGACTCGGATGGCAGAATCTTCCCTATGTCTCTTTGGAGACTTTCCCCTACTACCTTGTTGTTCTGGTGGTGGTGCCCGGCCCAAGGCACCCTTGTTATGGAGGGGACCTGGTGCGCATGTGACATCATGGTTGCATTAAACAGGGAGGTGTGGCATGCCCCGAGATGCAGCTCTCAGAGTGGATTAAACAGGGAGGTGTGGCATGCCCCAGATGCGCTCTCAGTCTGGCTAGAGTTTTATCTCTTTCTTGCATCCTACTTCTTTTCACCATTTTGCTTTTGTAGAAAAACAAAACCAGAACAGTGGAGGAACAGCCCTACAGCCTACAGCATGTCGGTGTCCTGGCTTTTATGCGTTTCCCGCGTATAGGACAGGAAACCATATTCAGGCCCTGGATGTCCTTAAGTTGTTTTCATTTTCCAGCAAAACCAGAAACATACTCTACTGCCTGTTCTGTAACCTTTGCACTCTACAGTTTGTATGCTGTGGTTTTGTTTTCTAGGTTAACACGATGATTTTCCTCTTGCTGGTGATTCTTCTCTGCACAGTACTGGCCAGGGCTGTAGTCCTTGGGAAACTCAATTTGGGAGGCTGAGACTTCAAGATGGGTCGTTGGCTGTTTCCAGTTTTAAAATATTGTTGTCTTGCTGACTTCTTAGCAGTGGCAGGAGTTTGTTACTCTAGTCAAATGATTGGTCTGATGTCCTGGCAGCAGAACTGGAGACCTGGTGTTTTCTGCTTCTCTCTGCTGCTGGTATTGAGGCAGCAGACAGGTTATTCCTTACCACGCCCCCCCCCCCCCCCCCCCCCCCCCCCCCCCCCCCATCACTTTTGCCAGGTCCTGCAGAGACAGGGCTGCTCTGGGCACATTCTGATGGACATGTTAGCCTTGCCTACGCTTGTGCAGGGAATTTGATCAATGCAGAGACCAGCTTTAGGCGAGGAAGCTGCTTTAGACAGAGCCAGGGAATGTTACTCTTCTGCTTTAGACAGAGCCATGGCATGTTACTCTTCTGTAAGAAGTGAATGAAAAGGCTGCATAAACGGGTTAGCACTGCGGGTGTTGTGAGCAGTCTGCTCCTGGGGGACTTAGCGCTAGCACTGTCAGGATGCTGGCACTAAGGATGACTGCCGGGCACAGTAGTGTTATCTACCTTGCGGTACAGCCCTTGTAAACACAGGGCAGGAAAGTCATTACTGTGCTGGCTGAAACTTTCCTATGTGCACCGGGTGGGGCTGCTTCGCCTGGAGTCTTGCTGTGGAGCTCAGGCTAGCCTGGAGATTGCCCTCCTGTCTCATCCTCCTCAGAGCTGGGGTGCCAGGCGTGACCCACCCACCGAGTCCCTTTTTCACTTTTCACTTTCTAGAAACAATATAGACGTCCAGAATTGGAGGGACCGCGGTTTACTGTCGTTGTTTATCGCTGGGTGTGAGAAGTGAGAGGACCGCAGCCTTTGGACTTCCTGATGACTTTATGGAGGAAGTTAGCCAGACTTGGTGGACATGACCTTACATCTCTATTAGAGGAAGTTTGTCGCTGTTTAAAGATTGTTAATGTTTAAACTCCACAATGGTCCTATTCAGAGGTCTCTGATTTAACTGTTCACTTCCGTCTTATGCTTGGAAACAGCTATAGAGGATGGCCTTATCAGTCAAGCCGTGTTTACAGGCAATGCCAGCTGCGGCCTGGGACTGTGTTTGCTGATCTCTGACTCAGAAGCAGTTTGAGCCAAGACTGTTTTTAAACTCAGAAGCAGCGTGGTGGTCCCCAGCCTTCGAAGACCTTGCTGCTGCAGTGCAGGGCGTGGCGTACTCATCAGGGTGATTTTTGAACCAGCTGCTCTGCAGCTTGCTGTCCGGGTTTAGGTGGAGCGCAGCCTGTGGTTAGGGACAGAGGTGTGGCCCCAGCCCTATTTGCAGAAGCTGTGTTATTTCTGCTTGGGTGATTTCGTGCCCCAGGCAGGTTTCTGTTCAAGTGAGAACACTGTGGCCTAAAGTAACCCGGGGAGGAAAGGGATTATTTGACTTCCGGGTTCCAGTTCATCCTTGGAGGAAGCCAGGGTGCAGGAACTGAGGCAGAGACCATGTTGGGATACCCTTTACTGGCTTGCTTTCCATGACTTGGTCAGTTTGCTTTTTTTTTTTTTTTCCTTTTTTTTTTTTTTCAGTTTGCTTTTTGATACAACCCAGGACCGCTTGAGCTGGGCCCCCCCACATCAATTCCTAACCAAGAAAATGCACCTCAGCCTTGCCCACTGGCCAGTCTGGAGGAGGCGGTTCCCTCAGTTGGCTCCTCCTCCCAAATGACCAGAACTGTGTCAAGCTGACTAAAACCCTGACTGTCAGGCCAGCATGGCTATCCAGGTTCCTCTCATCTGTTGTTCAAATGTATTTGGCTTTTTATTAAAAATCTGTGCAAAAAAGTTTTTTTTGAGACTTGGTTTCTTTGTGTATCCCTTGCTGTCCTGGAACTCGCTCTGTAGACCAGGCTGGCCTAGAACACAGAGATTCACCTGCCTCTGCCTCCTGAGTGCTGGGATTAAAGATGTGCACCACCACCTGGCCTAAAAATGGAAAGTTTTTAAAATGAGAAATGCTTAATAAGTGTTGGATGTGCCAGTGTCCCTCCTCCCCCTCCCTCCCTCCCTCCCTCCCTCCCTTTCTTTAGCCAGGTGTCAGACACCTTTAATCCCAGCACTTGCAAGACAAAGGCAATTGTATCTCTTTGAGTTCAAGCCTGGTCTACGTAGTGAGTACCAGGACAGCTAGCGCTACATGGAGAGAGACCCTATCCAAACAAACAACAACCAAACACCTTTAAATGAAGGTCTCTATTCCTATCGTCCACTTGGTGCTGAGATTCTAACCCAGGGCCTTGTTTGCACTAAACACAGGCTGCACTGAGCCACACATCCTCGGGATCTTTTCTAATTTCCAAAACAAGGGGAAAAATTAGGCATAGAATAGTGGCTGCTGATGCCTGCAATCCCAGTACTCGGGGGCTGGAGCAGGAGGATCACTAAGGGTTCAAAGTCAGCCTGAGCTACAGAGTCTTAGACAAAATTATCTTTTAAGCAAATATTAACAAGTTGGTTAAAACTTTAAAACACAGTAAAGCCATGAGAATCCACAAATTTTTCCCATGGCTTTCCTGATTCATGGAGCTGTTTACCCCTCTGCGGTGGCACACATCTGTGGTCCCAGCAGGTGGGAGACTGGGACTGCAGGCCAGATAGTTCAAGGCCAGCCTGGTCTACACCACAGAACTGTTCTCCCAACCCCACCACCAAAGACATAGACTTTTAACACAGAAACAAACAGTTCTTATGTTCACTGCAGGGAGGTCTGGAGGAGCAGGTTTGCAGAGTTTAGACGGTTTAGATTTTATAGTCTAAAGTGGGTCAAGGAAAAGTGAGAATCCTGCCTGCAGTCCTCGTCCAGCATGGCCGCTTAGCCTGCTGGCCCTGCCGGTCAGCCTTGCCTCTCCCCCTCCATTCAGCTGCTTCCCCACCTGAGACCCTTGTTCCCAGCAGCATGTTGGGTCGTCCCTGGCTTTGCAGTTGGCATGTCTTCCCCGGCAGTCATGCTCTAGACCACAGTGAGGCGTTTCTTTCTCTTGGAGTTGTTGGCTAGACAGTCTGCTGCAGTCACACTCACAAGCCATCCACTGGTGATGTCTACCAGCTCTGCCTCAGTGGACAGTTGGGCCAAAGGACAACAGCCAGTAGAGGAATGGGTACAGGAGAGAGCAGACTTGGGGTCTGTCACTGGCCGTCCCCTTTGGACGAGCCACTTCTGTGTCACTGTAACCAAAGCTCTGGATGGAAGCCATGGATCTGCTTAAGGAAAGGTGTGCCTTGGCTCCCGGTTTCATGGGGATTTCAGGCTCATGCTTCCCACCCCATTTCAGCCCGACTGCACATCTGACTCCCATCCCTGCTCCTGAGAGGGACAAGTCCTCTCTGCTTCCTGTTGAGCGGCGATATTGCGCATGGCGTAACTTGGAACAGTTCACACTCACTTCCAGCATGGTGTTCCTGCTTTGCTTCCGGAGGCTTTATTAGGGTGGCAGATATGATGTTGGGGGTACATGACCAAAGCTTCCCCCACTCTCTGGATAACCTGAAGATGTCAAGATTTCTCACAGATGTGGTTTGCTATTCCTGTTCACAAACGTGAGCAATCTCAGGTCATACTGGACATTGAGGGCTGCGCTGCACCCATTATACAGATGAGCAATTCGGGGTTCAAGAGGTATGGTGCCATGCTGAGGACTCCAGCTTGTTTTGCCTGGGTCCCTGAATGGTGCCAACCCACGAGCCTCAGCCCAGAGCCCTGGCCTCACCATTCGGGCATGTAGACCTGTGACTGTGGGCACTGGTACATGTTCTGCATGAAAAGGGCCCGCGTGTCACGGAGTACGCAAGTCAGTGCTCCCTCATGGTTGCCTGCCTGTGGTCCGCTTTGGGGACAGTTGTCTTAGTGTGGAAACTTAATGTGTTTTTTATTTGGCAGATCCTCAGCCCTGGTTTTAAGATGATGGGATTGGGAAATGGGCGTCGCAGCATGAAGTCTCCGCCCCTTATCATGGCTGCCCTGGTGGCCTGCGTCATTGTGCTGGGCTTCAACTACTGGCTCGCAAGCTCCAGAAGCATGGAACTCCAGGTATCGTGTCTATTTAGAATGCATGGAAGCTGTGTGATGTTTAAAGTCGCTGGGTGAGAGCACCACGGGCTCCCTGTTCATTGTCAGTCAATTCCTTGGTTCCCATAGCCCACACTAATGGTATCTTAGGTCCCAACCCCCTCCCCAGCCCAGGACTGCTTACTCTGTGACTGTTGAGTTACAGTTCACACCACATTCTGTACTCTGACTGTTGAGTTACAGTTCACACCTCATTTGTGCTCTGTGACTGTTGAGTTACAGTTCACACCTCAATTGTGCTCTGTGGCTGTTACAGTTCACACCGCGTTCTGTGCTCTGACTGAGTTACAGTTCACCCCGCATTCTGCACTCTGAGACTGTTGAGTTACAGTTCACACCGCATTCTGTAAGATGGGTCCATTAGACAGGCCTGTGGACATTTCTTAACTAGTGGTTGATGTGGGTGAGCCGTCCCAGTGTGCAGTGATACACATGTTGGTAGGAGAGAGGAGTCCCGGGGCAGGTAGACCAAAGTTGTGCAGAAAGAAAGCAGCCAGACAAGCCAAGAGGAGCAAACCAGTAAGCAACACTCCTATGGTCTCTGCTTCGGTTCCTGCCTCCAGGTTTCTGCCCTGACATCCCTCAGCGATGGACTGTGATTGGGACATGTTAGCCAGTGTCCTCCCCAGGGTGCCTGTGGTCATATCTGTTTGTCATAGCAACAGAAACCTACTTAAGACGTATATTAAGCAATGACCAAGGGTCTCCTTGGCAGACTTGAGAGCTCCTCTGAGGCCTGCTGCCCTCTAGGACATGCGTGTTGCTTTTGCTCTGCTCTGTCTAGTCCTGCAGAGGGTAGGCTCAACCTTCCCCTACATGTATTGATCATTGGCTGCCTCATTAAAGTATTTTAGCAAGTTCCCCCACCTTGTGTCCTCTGGGTAAAGCTTCCACACACCCCTTCCTTTGCTCTGGTCATCGTTGGGCTCCAGGCTTTGGTACTGTGAGGCCTTTGCTGAGGAGCTGGCAGTATCTCTGTGACATGGACCTTCGGGTCTGTGGTTTCCTTGTAGACACGCATCTTGGAGCTGGAAGGCCGGGTGCGCCGGGCCGCCGCAGAGAGGGGCGCTGTGGAGCTGAAGAAGAACGAGTTCCAGGGTGAACTGCAGAAGCAGCGGGAGCAGCTCGACAGGATCCAGTCCAGCCACAGCTTCCAGATGGAGAACGTTCACAGGCTGCACCAGGACGAGAAGGCAAGGCCGCCGTCCCCACCGCCCTCTTCTGAGGGCCGTGTTCTGGGTGGGGTTGAGCTCGCTGGCTGGTGTAGCTGTCAGCAGTGGGGGAGTGAGCAGAGCAAGGCGGGGCGGAGTCTCCTGCTGGCGCTCACCCCTTTCTTTCTGCCATGCCAAATACTTGTCATAGACAGCATCTCACACACAGATTAGAGGCAGCCTAGAAACCAAGGAGGATATTGAACCAGTTAAGAACTAGTCTCCATGAGACCTAAAAAATACCATCAGTTCAGAAAACAAAAACCCAGTGCCCTCAAAGATTTCTGAATGGAAGGTATAAATGCACAGTTGGAAGGAGATAAAACAAAAAGCTCTACAGGGAGACACAAATGCAAATTAAATATGAAATATACTTTTAGGCAAACAAAACCAAGAACGTCACACGGAAAGCATTGCTCTCTAACCCCGTCAGCAAAAGGGGATCGGCAGGATGGGCCTGCCAGCCGCACCTTAGTCCAGCTGAACAAATGCCTCCTGTTCATTGACCTCCTAAGCCCGCTTGGTTTTTCTGAGGGTTATGTGACTAAACTGTTAATTCACGTCTAAGACAGTGGACAGCATTAGTGTCTTCCAAACCAAAGTACACCAAAGCCACGGCCACTTGGGGTCTCTCCCTCCCTGGCCGTGGCTGGTTGGTTAGAAGGAGGCGAGTGTGAGGGTTGTGGTCTCAGGTCCCCGTCACAAACCAGAGAAACAGCTTCATGGAGGGAGGGGCTCTGTGCGGGGAGGGCAGGCTCTGCTGCTCCCCTGGACGTGCTTAAGGTGTGATAGTGGCTCAGTAGCAGGAAGCAGGCCTTGCCTCCTTTCCGATTAATTCCACCCCAGCCCCAGCTTGTGGCAGGGTGTACTCACATTCAGTATGGTGGTCCCCTCTTAGTCTCCATAGAAACAACCCCCAACCCTCCCCCCCCCCACAACCCATACCAGTCCAGGCATTCCTCAGTCTAATTACCTCTAGAGTCAGGTTCTACGGGCTTCTTCCTGTTCCCCTCCTAGTAGCGGAGATTGAATCCAGGCCCTCTCATCTGCTCCCTGCTCCAATTTTTTAAAGATGTTTTTAAGTTTTGGAATAGGGTCCCAGTAAGTTTCCCAGGCTGGCCTTGACCTGACTATGTAGCCCAGGCTGGCCTTGAACTCATTGCTTTTGCCTCAGCATCCTTAGTCTTTTGTTGCCGACGTCACCCAGGGTGAGATCTAGACCCTGGATGGCTCCAAGGGCCAGCTTCCTCTTGGCTTCCAGCTACATTCTTCCTTTACTGGTGAGGTGAGAAAGTCACTTATATGACTGGATGGTGGGGACCTGAGGGTGGTGTGGCCGTCTGCCTATCTCCCCCCTCCCCCAGACACTCACAGCCCCTCATGTCTCTGCTTTTGAAGACTGTGACAGGCCAGCTGGCTGTGTGACAGGGATGAAGTCCTTCCCCCATGGCCAAATGCCTGCTCCTTCTGAGGTGACCTGGCCCAGCTCTCAGTCCAGTTCCTCAGTGTCTGCTCGTGGGTCTTCTGAGGGAGTCTGGCAGCGGTGGGGTTTTCTCAATGGTGGCTGTGTTGTCTGTCCGTCCTCTACAGCACGGTAGCCACTAGCCACGTGAGGCTGTCGAATGGCTGAATGGTGGCTGAAGGGACTAACGGATGGGATTTAATTTTAAGTAATAGAAATAATATCGTCAAATACGGTCAGTGGCTGTCCTCGCTGGCATAAGTGTGGGTGATCGGTAAGGAAGCTGATTTGGGCTTAGGCTTTGGGGGTCATGTTCCATAAACAAACAAGCAGACTCATGGGTAGGTCTCAGGAGGTTCTTAGCTTTCTGTCCTTGCTCTTTGAGGGTCACACATATGCATAGGACTGGGCACCCCAATTCTAACAATGTGATATCCGAAGTGTGCCACAGTCTGAGACGTTTTCAGCGCCTGACTCAAACAGGTGTGGACTTGGGCATGTTTCCGATGTCTTGTTTCAGACGAGGTGTGCTGAACAAGTCAAGTTTATGTAGATGTAGATACTAAAATCTGAGAAGCTTTGGTACTGACATACGAGTGGTCCCAAGCATTTCCCCTGCAGGAGAGGGTCACAGAAGGTGACATCACTAGAGTCCACTGCAGTAAACCGGTGAGTTTTACAATGTTGCTTACAGGAGCAGAATATGATTCAGACAGCTTTGCTTCCGTGGGAACCACTTGCCCATGTGAGGCTGGCATCACAACCTTACTGGGAATGAGTGTGGAAAGTGGAATTGAGTGTTCCGGCCTTGCTATGCAGGATCACATGTACCCAGAGAACACACTGACCTGGACCCATGGTGTCCTCCAGCAGACAGCTGTGCACAGTCTGAGGGCATCATACAGCGGTGCACAGTCTGAGGGCATCATACAGCTGTGCACGGTCTGAGGGCGTCATACAGCGGTGCAGTCTGAGGGCATCATACAGCTGTGCACAGTCTGAGGGCGTCATACAGCGGTGCAGTCTGAGGGCGTCATACAGCCGTGCACAGTCTGAGGGCGTCATACAGCCGTGCACAGTCTGAGGGCCGCTGAGTCATACAGCGGTGCACAGTCTGAGGACGTCATACAAGTGTTGCTTTCTCTACTTCACTTGGCAGCTGTGGCAGGATGGCGGACTGCTGGTGGCTGTCCTGTGCAGAGGGTGGTGCTGCAGTGCAGAGAGGAGGCCTGGGGCCCTTCCCAAGGGTGTGTTAAATCAGGAAAGCCCACTTGGCCTGGAGTTAGACTATAGGGTTAAATAACAGGCCCCTGGGGCTAGGTCAGGTGAACAGGACAGAAAGGTGGTTGTGTGTTGTGTCCCCTCTGTTCCCCAATCAGGTCTAGCCTGAAGTGAGAATAGATCCCAGAATGTGTGGCATGCCCTGGTCCTCCACTTGAGTTGTCAGCTGGGCCTCCCTGCTCAGCCCAGTTGTGAAGGTGGGAGGATGTTGCTCTCCTTAAAGGCACACGATATCCTGGTAGGAGTTGCTTTGGTTGTGTGGTGCAGCCAGCCTGTGTGCACTTGGCCTGCGGACGCCCTTTTCTCAGAGAGCAGCCATGCTTTTCCGGCTCTTTGTCACGTCCCCCCCGTACCCCCCCACCTCACAAAACATCAGGAGGGAGACACCATTCGGCTCCTTGCTGTTCAGAACACTGGCTATATAGAGGTGCAGGAATCGGGTAGTTGTGAAGGCCAGAGGCTTTCATGTGGGGAGGGTGGATTTGCAGGCAGAGCTGCCTTAGGCCTACAGGCCTCCTGTGGAACCTCTTTGGACTGCAGCTGTGGAAAAGGAGGGCAGCCTTTGCTATGTGTTCGGTGGTTTGGCTGTGGATTGCCCCGCATAGGCGCCTGCACCATGGGGTTGGCCCCAGCTGGCAGTGCTATTTCAGGAGGCTGTAGAAACAGGTCGCTGGGGGCATCTGATGAGCCTGTTTCTTTCCAATTGAACCGCTCCCTTCTGGAGGGAGCCAGAGTGTTCAGACACCCAGGAAGCTCACTGAGGAGGCTTGAACCACCATGAAACTTTCCCTCCAGAGGTTACACAGGCAAGAAGGAATTGTGGGGGAGTCTTTCATAGAGTGGCCTGCAAGGGGAGCAGGTGCAGCTTTCCTGAGTGCCGAGGTGAGTTTTCAGTGAGGAGCCTCGGAGTCAGCCATGCTCCTGTAGTAGCCCCTCACTCCCGTTGCTGTGACCCCCCCCCCCCCCCAGTAAAACCCCACAGTTCACCAAGCTAGGCTTGTGTTATGTTGGAAGTATGCAGTTTGCTCACGACTCCCCAAGGAAAGGGCCTTGGGACTACCTTGTCCCTGCCTCCTGTGTCCGTCTGGTCACCGTGGTGTGAGCTCCTCTCCGTGATCCTTATCACAATGACCTGCCAGTGCCTTCCGAAACCCTGATCCATGTCACAGTGACAGATCAAGTCAGAGTTCACCCTGAAGGTCCGGAAAGCAAAACAGCCATCCACTTGCTCTTACCTCCATCTCAGTCTGAAAATGACGATCCTGCCTCCAGGAATCTCAGAATGAGACTGTCTGAGAGCTGTCTCCTCCTGTTTTATACTCCTCTCTAGTTCTGGGACTAAAGGTGTGCACCACTATTGCCTGGTTTCTATGATAAACTAGTGTAAGGCTGATGGGTGCAGCTGTTTTACTCTCTGATCTTCAGGCAAGCTTTCTTTATTAAAATACAAATGGAATATCACTACACCCTCTCATAAAAGACAGACCAATGAGACAGAAACACACCCAGTTTCTAGGACAAGAGGACTTCGGGAGTGAAGTCTAAAGACCCCGGTGAATGGCCCTCTTCATGCTTGAGCTTGGTGTGATGTTCCCGAATTGCTGTGTGGACGCATGGGGACGCATGCTCAGCTGCCGCCAAAGGAGACACCCAGGCTGTGGCCAGCCACCTGGGCGTCTGCTGTTCTGAGGTCGGGCCCCTCTGCAGTGTGAGCTAATGTGGCCCAGAGTGTTTGTGGCCAGCTCTGACGTGGCAGACGGGGAAAGCTAGAGAGATATTATTAGCTTCAGTGACTATTGTTGAGGAAAATGAGTCTGGTTCCTGTGTCTGTGCCCTGGAGAGGAATCCCCATCTCTGCTGAGTCCTGAGGGAGGAGGGGGAGGGGAGAGAACTCTGCTGCAGAGGCCTTCATCTCCCTTTCCTGTGCCTGCTTTCCCACGAGCCCCATCCATTGCTGCTGAGCCCTGTTGATAGCTCCCAGTATTTCCTGGAGACACATAGGAAGACATGCTGTGGGGAGGGGGCTTTGTTGTTTGTAGGTTTGGGAAACAGCCATGCGAGGTGAATAGGATCTCACTATGTAGCCCTGTCTGCCCTAGACCTCTGAATAGACCTGCCTGGTCTCAGACTCACAGACATTTGCCTGCCTCTGCTGGGATTAAAGTTATGCACCACAACATCCTACTTTAAGATTTAATTTTTATAAATGTGGCAGAGGTGTGTGTGTGTGTGTGTGTGTGTGTGTGTGTGTGTGTGTGTGAATTGTGGGGAAATGTAAACAGGAAAGCACAGCAGAATGGGTTCCTTACATCAGACTTCAGTATTGTCAGCCGTCTCTCTCTGCCCACAGTGCCTGGGGCTGCTTTACTTCATGAAGGGCTGAGATAACTGCAGTCCGTAAGACCATATGGAGTAGAAAATTCCAGTTGCCTCAAAGCTGTTCTAGCATATTCTCCTCCTGTGTTTGCGAAGAGAGGTACCACAGTCTGCTCACTGCCTGCTCTGTAAGAAACACTTGCATTTCATACAGCTCATAAAACCTGCAGAAGCAACTGGTTTTGTTTTTACTTCTTTTGGACTTCTGTGTCACAGAGGTCACACTTCCCACACGGCCGTCTCCCTCCCCTCTCAGCAATGGAAACTACCTTCCTTTGGTCGTCCTAGGGCTTCACTGCTTGAGGTTTCTCGTATGAGTGGAGTCCAGGCAACAGTTTTTTTTATAGCCAGGTGATGGTGGTGGTGGTGCACACCTTTTATCCCAGCACTTGGGAGGCAGAGGTGATCAGATCTCGGTGAGTTCGAGGCTAGCTTGGTCTACAGAGCTTGTTCTAGGACAGCCAGAGCTACACAGAGAGACTCAATTTTGAAAAACAAAAACAAACAAAAAATTTCCTTTTGTGAGTGGCCTCTTCTTTCACCTAACCTTAAGTCTTAGAGGTTGATTTGCGTTGTATGCGTGTTGGAATCTTCTCTTTTTTTCTTTTTGGTTTTTCAAGACAGGGTTTCTCTGTAACAGTCCTGGTTGTTTTGGAACTCTCTTTGTAGACCAGGTTGGCCTCAAACTCACTGAGATCCACCTACCTCTACCTCTCAAATGCTGGGGTTAAAGGTGTGTGTCACCACCTCCCGGCACTGGAATCTCCCTAAAGGCTATGCAATACACCTGTAATACACGTGCAATACACCACGTGTCTGTCTGTCTACTCATGGGCTGGCTCTAAGATCACTTCACCTCCTGGCTATGAGACAGATTGCAGTGAATGTGGACAGTTGAGGATCCTTTCTGAATTATTTGCATGTATATTTGGAGAGAGATTGTGGGGTCTGGGACAGATTCATCCATGCAGTTTAGCAAATGCATGCTTTTTTGCCCAGAGCAGCAGGAAGTTTGGCTGGGGAAGTCCTATTCCTAGAGTGGGCCTTCTTAGTCTCTCATTCTCCACCCCTCCATACCCTTGTAAAAGAAACACTTCTCTAGGAAATTGTCACCGCGGTAGAAGAATTTTACCAGTACCCTTCTGGAGACTTCTCTACCATTGCCAAATTACTCCCAAAGCAAGCATCTCCCGCACGCACGCGTTCCTGTGTTCCTCTCCCGGCACGCATATCTCTGGGCACTCCGCCTTTCTGTGTTCCTCTCCCAGCACGCGCTCCTGTCTGTGTTCATTTCTTGGCACACATTTATCAGCTGTCTGATTTGGCGTTTGTCTTCCTTGTAGGCGATTTTAGTGAGTAACATCACCACAGGCGAGAAGCTCATCAGAGACCTGAAAGGTAAGCCCTCTCCCGCCAGCCCAGCAGCTGCCTCACGGGAAAGCCTGCCTGGCCCTGTCCCAATGCCTCACAGTGGCCTCCCCTGGCTCCGTCACTATAATCTTATGTTAGGAGTAACCCAGCCATCCTTAATGTAATCTTATCTGTCCTTATAAACTATTACGGTATAAACATTGCAAGTTGTGATGGACGTAATTCAGCCCTTTGGTTTATGACTCTTTAGGAAATACTGGGAGGGTGTGCTGAGTTTGGGGCACTTGCCTGGTGTGACCTTAGGTTCAGTCCGCACCACCAAACAAGTAACGAAATTGGATGAGGGATGCTCAAGCTGAGCATCCCTGAGGTATGAGCCTCTGCCACCATGTGGAAAATCCCACGTCTGACCTCAGGCCAAGGTCAGACTGCACAAAATCCTTGTGCCCTGTGCCCTATTCATAATTTTACTGAAAATAAACCTTTACTAACCACCTAAAAATATGGTGTAGCACAAAAATCCTTGTGCAAAGTTAATTCTGAACTGCGTATATAAAGTACGTATGAGGGCCAGCGAGGAGGCGCAGCAGGAAAGACGCTTGCTGCCCAGCCTGATGACCCGAGTTTGATTCCAAGGCCCACATAGTCCAAGGAGAGGACTAAGTCTCACTAGTTGACCTTTGACTTTTGCACATTCGCAGTGGTGCACACACAAGTACAAAGTCTAATAATTAAATATTTTAATAGAGATTTCAAATAGGATCAAGGAGCAGGTTTCTGTGGGAGGGATGGTTGGCATCGCGATGGCAGGGGAGGGGCTCTTCTCTCTCTCCCCTTCTGCTCCCCTCTGTGTCATTTGTGCTGAGAGTGGTGTTGCTGTGTCCTGTGTGTCTGAGTGGCAGGACAGCCACACAGAGACCAGTGGAGTAATTTGTCCCCTTGCCTTAGCCCAGCTGAAGGCTCTGCAGAGCAGTTATGGCAGGCTGCAGCAGGACATCTTCCAGTTCCAGAGGAACCAGACTAGCCTGGAGAAGAAGTTCTCCTATGACCTGTGAGTGTGGCTAGGGAGGAGGGTCTGGGTTCTGAGCATCAGAGGCCAAGGACAGAGTCCAGGCCACTCACTCAGCCTGGCACAGAGCTGGGAGTTGTTGTATAGAGCATGTGAGAAGGGACTCAGGGCTTCTGGGGTGATGCCCTCTAGAAATCAGCATTCCACCTGGTAAGTATCAACCAGCAGGGATCGTTATACAGAGTAAGAAAGGTGTGTTTGTATGCATGCATGTGTGTGCACTTGGGTATGTAGCATGGATCCAATTGGTCTCAATAATAAAACCCCAGAGTCAGATATTAGGTGTTGAAAGCTGAAAGATCAGAGAAGCAGCCAGCCACTAAAGTTTTGACCTCTACAAAATCCTCAGACCAAAAGAGGAGATCCTTTCTCCACCTTCCTTGTGCTGGGATTAAAGGCGTGTGCCTCCCAAGTACTGGGATCAAAGGTGTGTGCCACCACTGCCTGGCTTCATGGTTAGTGGCTTAGCTCCACCCTCTGATCTTCAGGCAAGCTTTGTTAGATCACAAAATAACAGCACACAGGTGTATTGGGCGCACACACACACATACACGCAAGCAGTGCTCAGCAGGATATGAGTTATCACTGTACCCTAACATTTACATATCAGAAACTCAATAATATAAAGCACAGCAGGACCGTTACCTTGGCAATTCGAACACTTAAAAACTGTCAGGCCTGGAACTGGAGAGGTGGCCCGGTGGTTAAGAAGAGCACTGGCTGCTCTTCCAGAGGACCAGGGTTCAGTTCCTCAGTTCCCAGCACCCACGTGGCAGCTCACAAAGCGTCTATCTCTCCGGTTGATCTTTCACCTGTCTTGTTTAACCCACACAGACATTGACATGCATTTCAGAAGTCATAAGGAAACAGGCAGGACCTGACAAAGCAGTGCTCCTGGAAAAGGTGACGCCACCCGGGAAGGGCCAGCATCCGAGGGGATTAGATAAGATCACTAGATATCCCTGAACCCTAGACTCACCTACTCCCCTCACCCCAATCTCTGTTGTGATAAGCAGCTTTGGGGACACCCAGACCTTTTGTCAGTAAGGGCAGGCATGCTGTCTTCCTATCTTTTTGAAGGGGAGAAGGGGAGAAGGACCACGGCTTCACAAGGTTTCTACAGAATTGACAGTGACTGTCCAAAGGACAGGTGCTCCCGGAGCTCTGCAAAACGTGTTTCCCATAAGTTGTACACTTGTGGGTCTAAGAATCCGTCAACTGTATATTTACTTTCTAATATTTGTGACTACAACAAGCTTCAGAGTGTTTCATCATTTAAAGGTATTTGGGATTTTATCCTTCCACAGACACTCAGTGTAGGTTTAGCCTGTCACTAGCTGTACATTGCCAAATTACTTGCATTCTTTCTTATTTTATTTTGAAATGGGTCTTCCTGTGTAGCCCTGGCGACCCTAAAATTTGTATAGGTCGGACTGGCCTGGGACTCACCATCTCCCACCCAAGTGCTGGGATCACCACACAGTACTTCCTCGCTGCTTCCTAAGAGTAAGCGGGGTATGCAGACCCCAGAAGCCCAGAATAATAGCTGCCTCACACATTCCGGCTCACAGAATGCCCATGTCCTCTCGAAATGCCAACAACTTGCCTGATGTCCTAATTACTTCAAACCCAATCCTGCAAACAGCATGAAGTCTGGAGCACCTTAATACCAGGGCAGGTGCTGGGCACTGCATCCTCAGAAGTAAGCAGGGCAGGTCCTGAGCACTGCATCCTCAGTAGGCAGGGCGGGTACTAAAAACACTGCATCAGTAGGCAGTGGCTCTGTAGGAACACTGTGGTGGCCTTGAACTGAGATGGATACAATCTCACTTGTCCTATGCATTTTCTCTTGGGCTGAAATGTCACTGTGCATCACGTGACTGCTATGTTGTGACAGTATAATGGCACAGGACATGAGTAGACACTCAACACGAGAACACATGGTTGGACTGGGCAGTATCTACAGACTTTTGCTCTGACTTGAAGGACAGTGTCACTGGAATCTATTGAGTAGAGACCAAGACACTGTCAAATGCCCCAGATGGCTCCCACAGTGGAGCTGTGTCTGGCTCCAGACATTCACAGTGAGCCTGGATAACTGAGCTAGTGATATCAAAACATACACACAGACAAATGTGAAATACCCTAGACTTAGAGCCTTCAAAAGCTCCTTGAAGCCAGTATTTCCTCCAAACCAGTGGTCTTGCTTGATAAGTGTTCACCCAAGTTTTCAGCCTATCAGAAGTCAGCTATGGGCTAGAGGAAGGCACGTGGGTCCCAGGTCGGGCAGCAGCTGTTGTGCTGTCCTGGGTTGTGTGTGCAGGGAGACACTTGTACTAAGAGGTGAGCAGCCTGGATGGTCGGTCTTTCTGCTGTGTCCGTCTCACTCACTGGTTGTACTTTAGAGCCCCTGCTGCAGAGGCAGGAAGCTCTCAGACGTAATGGCAGAGATTGATGGATGCCAGAAAGAGATAGATGTCCTAAAGTTTCTTAGAATGAGAGATCTGTGTGTTTGAGAATCTGAGAAAAGATGTAAACACCTTGTTAGCAAATTTGTAAAGTGTATAAAATCGTTCATTGAGGAATTGAGAGGTTATGACCAAACCCAAGGTTGTCCAATTAAAACAAGATTTATTAAATATCAGCCAGGAAGATAGACACTGGCTAGTCAACCACCAACTGACTGGGAAGTTTTTCAATGAAGTCTTTGCTTCTCTCTCACGTCTGAGGTTCCTGTTGTCGTCCTGTTCCCTGCTGTGTGTGGAATGTTTTCATCCACTGATGCTTTTTGATCTGCCAAAGGGTATGTTCCGAGTTAGGGACCGAGGCCCCAAAATGTTTCCAACCCAGGAAAGGCTGCACAGAGAGAACACTGTAGTCTTCAGAAGACTTGAGTCTTTCTCTTGGTTTTAGCGGTAGAAGGCAGCAGAAGCCTGTTAGCGTCCCTGTTTGCTAAGTAAGTGGTTTCTGCTCTGCCCCTCTGCTGAAATCAGGCTCGAGCCTCCAGTGTATGTCAGGGGCAGCTCTCTGACAGCTAGACCGATGTCAGTCTTGATGCTGCCCAGAGTCCATCCCCACCCCACAGGCTAAAGGAGTCAAGCTCCTCAGACTGCTCCACAGTCACAAGAACTGGGTGTCCCTCAGCCTCTGTGGGTTGGTTTACAAATTCAGGGATACCTGCCATACTCCTTGATAATTTGCCAGGACAGCTCACCCAACTGAGGACAGCTTTACTCACCACTAGGGTTACAAAGGCTGTGACAGGTGAACAGCCACAAACGGCAGAGTTATAAGGCGAGTCTGGGAATGGGAGACTTAACGTCTCCTGTGGACTCAGGGTCCAGCCTTCTGGTGCATCTGTATCATTACCAGCCCAGAAGCTACTAAACCTCAAGGTCTAGAGATGGTAACTGGGTTTGTTATGTAGGCGTGGTTGATGAAATCATCATCCACATGGTTGAACCTTCCAGTCCCCCTCACTTCTGCTAGGCATGCAAGTGTTACAACTCGAGGGAAAGGTATCCTGACTTTTTGGGAAGTCAGGCTCTGTCTGAAGCTGGGGTGCAGTGAGGGATGGTCTCCCTGAAGGATGTAGCAATTCTGTTTCTCTCTGAGACGCCATTACAAGATGCTTCCAACACCAGGAAATCACAGGGGTTTTAAGGATTTGTACTGGCAGTGTTTTTAAGTGTGTGTATGTGTGAGTGTGTACATGTGTGTGTGGCATGTTTATAGCAATATAACAAATCTAGAGTGTGGTTACCTTTACATTCTTCCCTGTCATCTAATACTTGCAAGTTCCCTTTTCAGATTGTGTCCAGAGTAGGAAAGGGCTGTTCTGCCTTCTGCATGGACTATGGGTGTGGGGTCCAGTAGGGAGTGCTTGGGACACCCACACATCCTTCCATTTGCCTCGACCAGGAGCCAGTGTATCAACCAGATGAAGGAGGTGAAGGAGCAGTGTGAAGAGCGGATAGAAGAGGTCACCAGAAGGAGAAACGAGGCAGCCGTTTCCAGAGATGCAGGTGACAAAAACAGCCAGCGTCAGCAGGTAATTTGGGTCTGTTCTGACAGGGTGTCCACGGGAGCTGCACTTCCTCTCCTCAGCATTTTGTTCTGACCTGTGTCTCTGTTCTCCCCATGGGTGTGGTTCTCTGATACAATGGAGCAAATCCTGGTACCAGGATACCCAGACCTGACTGTGGACGCTGGCCGCCGAGCTAGAGCTAGCCTTTACCGTGTGGAAGAAGCCAATGCTATATGGCTGTTTGAGGCTGCTGAGGTCGAGATGTGAAGTGCTGTGGCCAGGATCAGCCTGGCCCCGTGGCAGGGTCCAGAGTAGTGTTCCCTCATGAGTTCTGACAGCAGAGCATTTTTCTTTTCACAGGATGAACTTGCTTTAATTAGTTTATGAACTAATTCATATATCTTTTATTCTACTTACTTTGGATTTAATTTACTAATTTGTTTCATGGCTTCTTAAGGTACAGTCTTGACTCTTGACTACAGATCTGAAGATTCCTTTCTCATCCAGTGCTACAAATATCTTTTCTTTTTTTGGAAAAAGCATTGTTTTTACTGCAGTTATGTATTCCAGGAAATTGTTCTCATTTAGACAAAAATATTTTTGTCTGTCTTTTTTTTCAAGACAGGGTCTAACTATATAGCTCAGGCTGTCCTGGAACTCACTCTGTAGTTCAGGATGGCCTCTGACTCACAGAGATCCACCTGCCTCTGTCTACGAAAGTGCTGAGATTAAAGGTGTGACCAAAATATTTTTAAACTTGAGACTTTAATCTGTGCACTATTTAAAAGCATGTGCCTTAATCTCCACACATTTAGGGATTTTCCAGATATCTCTCTACTTCTGCTTCCTTGTTAATTCTTCTGTAATAGAAGGGGAGACGTGGGGCTGGAGAGATGGCTCAGTGGTTAAGAGCATTGCCTGCTCTTCCAAAGGTCCTGAGTTCAATCCCAGCAACCACATGGTGGCTCACAACCATCTGTAAAGAGGTCTGGCGCCCTCTTCTGGCCTTCAGGCAGACAGACAGAATATTGTATACATAATAAATAAATATTAATAAATATAAAAAAGAAGGGGAGACGTGATGTGGTTCCACGTTTAAATTTGCTATGATGGGGTTTTAGCCTAGAATGCATTGTTCTGGTGAGTGTCCCCGTGAGTGAGGTGATCCTCTTCCTTTGGCTTCTCAGGACTTTTAATTTCCCTGCTGTCAACAGAAGCTTCTGTCCTGCCTGTCCCAACAAAACACAGAGGCTTGTATTAACTGTAAACTGGTTAGCCCACTAGCTCAGGCTTACCATTAACTAGCTCTTAAAACTTAAATTAACCCATAATTCTTATCTGTGTTTAGCCATGTAGCTTGGTACCTTACTCAGTGATGCATTCTCATCCTACTTCCTCTGTGTCTGGGTGGTGACTCCAGACTGAGTTATTCTCTTCCCAGAATTCTCCGTTTAATCTGGTTGCCCCACCTATACTTCTTACCTGGTTACTGGCCAATAAGCATTTTATTAAACCAATACAAGGGACAAATCTTTACAGGGTACAAGAACATTCTTCCACAGCACCCTGTAGTTTAACATGACACACCTTCTTAGTTTTTATTCTGCTTGGTGTTCTCTGGACTTTCTCAATTTATAGTTTAGTGTTTGACATGAATTTGGAGGAATTCTTAAATCTTGATTACTAGATGTTTGTCTTAGCCAGGTCTGATCATTATGTATGTGTGACATTCAGAAGTTGTCTCCGCACTTCTATCCTGAGTATGAGGGATCTAGAGTGACCATGTATGTCTGCCGTCCCACCCGGAGTAAGAGGGATCCTCTCTCTACTTGTCTCATCAGTCTTTGGGATTTTGTTTCATGTTTTCAGACTATATTCTGTTTTTCACTTTCAGTAGGTTTCTATTTTATCTCCAAACTTGGGAAACTGTCCCTTGGCCATAGCTAGTATACATATGAGCCCGCCAAAAAAAAAAAAAAAAAGCTTCATTCACGTGACAGCATTTTTATTTCATTATTCCTTTTCTTCCCTTCCCGTTTCTATCTCCACCTCGTTGTCTACTTTATTTGCTGGGTTCTCTGTATGTTGGCCACGTTTGCTCTAAATCCATGGTCTGGTAAGTCAGGTATCCCTGTGTCAGCTTCCAGTGTTTCCTGTCTCCAGACTGGTCTTTGCTTTACAGGATGCCTTCTAATCTCGTACTTGCCATGGGACAGGATATGCTGACTAAAGGGGTCTACTGTAAATAGGTTGTCTACTACCTGTTGTAAGATGATGGAGCGGAGACATACATTCTTTAGGGCTACATATAGGAATGAGCCTGTGTTTTGGATTATGTCCTGCTTCTCAGTATCCCCAACAAGTGGCAGAAAGGGACCGACGTTGGACGGTCCCCTTCCCTCAGCTCATTTAGTGTCTGAGAGTAACTAAAGGGAATGGGCAGCTTCTTGGTCATCTGGGAGTGCTAATTTCTACGCATCTGTGACGTTCTTGAGTTCCATGCCATAAGACAGGAGAATGTGTTCTGTGAGAGTCAGTCATGTCAGGCAGACAGGGTGAGCATGTCCTCGTGGTGGGCTGAGCGCTATAGATATTTGGTCAGGTAACTTGGTGTATTGGGATGGTTACATTTCCTCTTATGTCCTCCATTTTGAGTGTGTTTTCTGGAGGACCTGGACTTAGCCGCAGTCTACTGTTCTATGCCGTGTGACAGGGTAGACGGTGGTGTTTGAGTTTAGGGGTTTTGACTTGCTGGTGGATGCAATGAGGATCCTGTGACCTACTTTCAGAGCCCTATGCTTATTTCAATTCCAGCCCCTTCAGCCTCAACCCAAGCTTCAGGAAGTCATCCCGGTAAAGGATCAGCTGCCACAAGGGGAAGGGGTGGTGCCCAGGAACCAGTCCGAGACACCAGCCCCCAGTTCAGAGGTGCGGGATTTGAAACCACACGAGCAGAATGGTAAGCACATCCTCCAAATGCAAGCAGCAGTGCATGATTTGGGAGGGTGGTGTGGACACTGGGGGCAGAGTGTGCCTTGAGGCAGCCGAGAATGGGCAGTATAGCCAGCTGGAGGTACTTTCTCTTGGGTCCTTGGATGGGGGACGCAGGCTTCCGCACTGTCTTACTAACACCTCGTCCTTGTAAGCCGAGTGCTGAGTTCCTTGGCAGCTATGTACAGGTACAGACAGCACTTTAATTCAGGGTACTGGAGAATCGTGCGACTTAGGGGCAGACATTGAGTCCTCGTGGCTGGTGTGCCTGGCGTCCCAGGGCTTGTCCTAAACAAATGACCATGAGAGCCTAGCCCTCATGGGATACCTGAATCCATGTTATTTTCTGATTTTTGTTTATTAGTTGGGTTTTGATTTGTTTTTGTTTAGAGATAGATCTCTATGTAGATCTGGCTGACCTGAAACTCGCTATATAGACCAAGCTTGTCTCGAACTCATAGAAATCCACTTGCCTCTGCTGAGTGCTAGGATTAAAGGTATGGGCCATCATGCCCTGAACTTTTAGCTATTTAATCAGAAGATGAGGACGGACAGAAGCCCGTGGTCAGGAGCGGAGGTCAGAGGAGCTCCTAGCCAGCTACTCTGAAGTATGAGGCTCGCCCTGTAGCCATTTTTTCTGGCGACACTCTAGAAATGAAGCGGTGACACTCTGTTTTTTCTGAGATAAGTTCTTGTGTAGCCCAGGCTGGGCTCAGACTCACCGTGCATCCATGCCTGGAACTGACTTTGCTGCCTTCCCCTCCCAAGTCCTGGGATGACGGGTGTGCTGCATGCATTCTTTGTAGTTAACGTTACCATTTTTTCCTTCTGTTTTGTCTGAGGCAGAGAATCCCAGGCTGGCCCCACACTGTGTAGCCCAACATTCCTAATGCTGTATATAGTTCACGTTGTGATGACCCCAACCGTAAAGTATTTTCATAATTCTAATTTTGTGGTTGTTATGAATCGTAATGAAAATAGTTTTGGAGACAGAGGTTTGCTAAAGGGGCTGCAACCCACAAGGCCGAGAACTGCTAATATAGCCAAAGCTGGCTTTCGATGGCCGGACCTTCCTGCCCCTAGAGTGACAGGACGATAGGTGTCAGCTCCACACCCAGAAAGGCTAGGCACGGCTTTAATCCTAGCACTCACTCTCAAGTTTCTCAGGGTTGGAGGATCTTTGAGTTGAAGGTCACCCTGGTGTACAGAGTTTTCAGAAGCCAGGGCTACAAGGAGAAACCCTGTCTCAAAAAACAAGAAAAACCAAAACCAAAACAAAGGGTGCTCTTGCAATCGTATCTAACTATGTTCTGTGCAGAGGAAAGCAACAAGATTCTGATTGTCAGTGAGGAGCATGGCCTGGGACCACCGAAGGCGTCAGTCCAAAACCAGGCCCCCGTGAATGACACACCTGTAGGAGCTGGGAGAGCTCAGCAGATCGCACAAGGGCCAGCTGCCTTGTTGGCTAAGCCTGAGGATTCTCAGTACCCCGAGCGGTACCAGCTTGTCGTCCAAGATGGGCAGGAGAATCAGCATGCTGCTGAGGAAGGTGGGTGGCCCTGAGGTTCCTAGACTTCCTGCCAGGCACTCGGCTCTCTCCATTTTCTCAGCAATGGACACGTCTTGAATGTCACCAACTGGCCTTCATGGCTTGTTTACACTTTTTTGTGTTTATTTGATGTCCATTATTGAGGGAAAACCGGGCAGGTACTATCTCTACCTGCCTATGGCTTATGTACAGATAGTGCCTGGGATGGGACTGAGGGGAGGGATGCGGGATCCATGCATCTGAGGAGCCGTGACAGCTGAATCCCACCTTTCTTCCATCCTTAAAGAGTGGAATCTTCCTTCAGCCAAGTATCTCGGGTGTATTCTGCTGCCTTAAAGGTGTGGAAACTTCCCGTTCCGTGGCACCAGGTGCACTCATGACGACACCTGTGCTCCTGAGTGGAGCAAATGCCAGACCTGAGGGATGTGTCTAAGTCTGTCAGTCTTTCCTTCAGAACAACGTTCCTTTGTTCTGGGGTGCACTTTGTCAATGTCAACCTGCTGCTGAGTGTCACTGTCAGAGCCCGGCCCTATAACTACAGTCAGGAGGTGCCCACTAGAGGAGGGAGAGACCCCACTTTGCTGGCACTCAGCTGAGCTACAGGACTTGAAGTGGAACAGCTAAAGGCAGACACGCATGACCAGGCTTGTGTGGTGCAGCGGCTTCAGCATGCAGCAGTAACGACCTCATTTGGAGGATACACGGATCGAGAATTGCTCTTGCTGCTTCTACATGAGAGAATAGAAGCAGAGTAGAGATTTTCTAGGCATTCCTTTTAAGGAAGGTCTGCTGTGCCTCCCCACGTACACACACCGCAGAGGCCAGGGAGACTCCTGTTGTCTCTAGTCTCATTCTGTGCTGTTTTCAGGGCAGAGCATGGTCGTAGACAGTCCAATCCTGCACGTGGAGGCCCTCGGTATTCACGCGTACCCTTTCTTGGAGTCATTCTGAGAAGCCACTGTCATGTCCCATCATTAACCCATTATTTCCTGAAACAGGGGTTGCTTTTCCTTAATCTTGTTGATTGCCTTTCTCAAAAAGACGTGTGGTTTCTCAGTTTCCTGACGGAATCATGGCTTCTTACCTAGGATTTTGCTTGTTTATTTTGTGTTAGGAATGGAGCCCAAAGCCTTTGTGCACTAGGGTTTCCGTCACCAGGGCTGGATGCCAGTAGACTCCATGGTGTTTGTACTGGGAAGAAGCTCACGAGTCGGGCAGCTTTCTCAAGTACAGGTTTGGTACTCCAGTGACGTCAAGAATGACATGTGTGCTGGTTTTACAGAGAAGAACCAGCAGCAGCTGAGAGACGACTACGACACAGACGAAAACGAAGCCGAGTCCGAGAGAGACAAGCAGGCCGTCCTCGCGGGGAACGACGGCGATAAAAACGGTAGGAAGTGTGTGTGAGTGGTCACCTCCGTCCTTTTCTTCCTTTTCCTCAACTGTTGAGAAGTAGTGGTCATTCAGGGAGACTCTTTGTCTTTTTGGTTTTTCAAGACAGGGTTTCTCTGTGTAACAACCTTGTCGGTCCTGGAACTAGCTCTTATAGACCAGGCTGGCCTCACACTCAGAGATTCACTTGCCTCTGCCTCCTGAGTGCTGGGATTAAAGGCGTGGGCCACCCCATCTGGAGAGGCTGTTTTCTTTAGGAGTCCTGGCTAGTGAGGTCGTGGGGCAGGGTGAGAACAGAGATGCCCCAGATATCAGAGGACTTTCCCAGGGCACCCCAGAGTCATCCACACCTGGTTTGGGCCCAATCATTAGATTATCTGTTGACTGCCTCCTAACCAGGGTTCCGCTGTGGCTAGCCTTCTAGAGAAGCTGATGAAACGCGTCTTTGACAAGGCTCTTGTCCCTTCTGACTCCTTGAGCGTTATCAGCAGCACTCTGCTCTGCCCTACAAGGTCCTGCAAACAGCATATGCAGTGTTCACGCAGCTCACACGTGATTTGCAGATTTTGCGCCATCCGCTCTTTATCCCAGTTCTCTGTAGTTTCCTGCTTCCTTGCAGTCGACGATGCTGCAGCCTGAGCTCTAGTTTTCGTGAACCTGAGTCTTGGGGCATGGAAGTAAGTCTTCCAGGGGACACGCAGACGCCGCACAAGGCCCAAGTCCTTCTGCTGACATAAAGGACTGTGGATTGCAAAGGTGTGGCATCCCATGGCTGACACCGTCTTGCTCCTCCTTGCTCTGCAAGTTTATTCCTGCCGACCTTTAAACCAGGAACAGGGGCTCCGGGTTTCAGTTTTGTGCTTGATTCCCCACCTCAGAATCAGGATTTTTCGGAATTGTTTTGGCCTTTTAAATTACACGTGTGCCACTGTGCATGTCTAGAGGTCAAAGGACAACCTGTGAGCCAGTTTTCTTCTTCCATCATGTGTGATCTGGAGATCAGATTTGTTTCAGGCTTCATTCACACCTTTAGAAGCGGAGGGAGAAGTCCGGGCTCTTTGGGCTCCATCAGAAATCCTTTGGCCGGCTTGCGTCTTAATTATTACCTGGTTATTACCCCCCCCCCCCCTCTGGACTCAACGCCCTCTCTTATTATCACATGAGTAATTCTTGATGTTTGATGGATTTTTCAAAAACTTCAGGACTGGAGAGATGGTTCAGTAGTTAAAGACCCAAGTTCAACTCCCAGTATCCACATAAGGTGGCTCATAACCATCTTAACTCCGGTTCCAGGCGATCTTCCTCTGGCTTCCATGGGCCCTGTATTTATATGTATCTATCTATACAGACAGGTAACTACAAATAAAATCCTTTCTAAATCTTAAACAGTAGCAAAAGGGTTCCCATGTGCCTTTTCTCCACATTCTCCAAATGTTATATCACCTTAAGTAACCACAGTCCAACTGTCCACAAGAAGTGTTGATATAGTTAGTACACTAACAGCAAATGTCTGTCCAACTGATGTCCTCTGTTGTCTACACACACACACGCCCCACACCTACTATCCTGCCTGCCCTGTTTATCACTGTTTTGTTTTTCAAGACAACAGTTACTGTGTGTAGCCCTGGGTGTATGGAATTCACTCTGTAGACCAGGCTGGCCTCAAACTCAGAGACTGCTTGCCTCTGCCTCTGCGAGTGCTGGGATTAGTGTTGTGCCACCAGGGCCAACTCACTCAGATACTCCTGTTTCAAGTGTACTGGCCTAATCTGGGAGACGGAGTCCTTCAATGTGGATGTCTAATTCTGCATTTATCCCGCAAGTCACTTGCAGAGGTTCTACAGAGAAGCCTCCGTTTGATTATATCACATACTGTATAATTTCTGAGGCACAGGGATAAATAACACATTAGCGGGAAGAAGGGCAAACAAATACAAGACGTCTCATCTATCTTTTGTGTACATCTGACTGTACTGAATTGTGTCCTTTGGTTCTAGTGTTAACACCCCTGCAGCTGACTATCCTGCTAGACATCTGGCTTTGCGGTGAAAAGCTGCGGTCTTAGTCCTGTGGGGCACTCTGATCTGTGCAATGCTGTCAGCGGAGTGAGAGCAAAGCAAAAGGATGAAACTGACAGCTTAAGACCTTGCTTGTCCCGGGGACTCTGTAGTCAACACTGCAAGGATTAAACACGACAGGAACATTGGCTTAAGTCTTGTGACCTGTTTGTGCCCTTGTGATAAAATATAGCCAATACCCAGGGTGGACGCCTGGACGGAAGCTGCAGGCAGGTGGCTCTGGGGAGGAGTGTGCTGTGTGTCCTTCTCCAAAGAGTGGCCATCATAGCACACGCTGGCTTTGTTTTGTGGCGTGCTGTACACACGGTTTCTTTTGATGGGAACCCAATTCTAAGCTGCAGTGGTGTTGTGGAAAGTGGATTCTCTTTATGAAAATCCTAGGAACTAACACGAAGTGAGACCTGACCAGGCTGTTTCCCCAAAGTGTTAATATTGGAATATTGCTTCCTATTTTCAGATTTTAATGAAGATCAGAAGAGAGGCCCCGTAAATGTACCCGATGGGAGTGAAAAGCAGAGGCCCGTCCCAAATCAAGCAGGAGTCCACAGTCCTCAGGAGGCCTGAACAGAGATCAGCAAAGGCTCCAGCGACTGAGTATGAACCTGAAATGTACAAAGTAAATGCGCATCGACAGATGATTCCGGGGTTTAATCAGTACATTGTAGCAAAGACAGTTTGGGGACCTTTAAAGTGTCTATAGAGGATGTCAAAATTGGTCAAGCTTTCTTAATAGGTATTTCTTGAGCAAGTCAGGCAACAACAAAAAGAGAAATGAGGTTGTCCTGTAGGGGCGGTGTCTGCAGGACCGAGCAGCAGCAGCAGGCCAGCTGCTGGCAAAAGGCCGCACCCCTTCCTGTGCGCTGCTTGCCAGTTTGTGTTCATTGGACCCGAGTGGCTCATCTTTCCTGCACATACTTGATTCCACTACCGATGGCCTACAGCTTACTGTCAGCATAAACAACCACTAGTTGGTGTAGAAAAGTCTCAGTACAATGTTGTTCTGTGCAGAAGTAAATTAAAAGACAGCCACTACATCAGGCTAACCCTTGGACTCAGAAGACTGAGGCAGGAAGATTGCTACAGGCTTGGGCCAGCCCTAGCTACATAGTGAATTTCAAGTCAGATTGAGCAAGAAAGTAAGACTGTCTTAAAATGTCAATTGTGGGGGAGGATTTTCTTTTTTCTTTTTCTTAAAGACTACTGGTTCAGATAACCTTTGTTATTCATTTGATGTACAGAACACTATTAACTTAAGTCAATGTGAGCACCGATGGTCTCTACCTTGTTTTTTGTTTGAGTGGGCAAAGGGAAGTCTCTGGTAAGCCACTGCCCCTCACTGGGAAAGGCAGTGGTGGACTGAGCTCTGGACAAAAGCTGCAGGGGCAGGCAGAGCAGACAGGATGTAGAGCACTGCAAGGACAGAGGCCCAGAGATGCACAGTTGTGTTGCTATGGCAGTCCAGGAAGAAGGGCTGGCTGCTGGGGATACCCAGGTTCTAGCTGGGACACCTACAAAGGCAAGAGAAACACAGCAGCAGTTTTTCTGTAGTTATGTATTATAGTTCCCTGATGATAATGGTGTTAGGCCTGACTTTAGGTGGTCCTTGATTCTGATCACTGGGTTCTAACCAACTAACTTGACAGCCGTCACCCTGAGAAGAGAACTCCTGCTTTTCGGTGCTCTCTGAAGAGTCAGACGCTCCACAGGGTCTGAGGTTGTCTGGTGTTGGTCTGACAAGTGGACAGTGCTGGTTAATTGGGAAGCACCACCACTAGAGCCACTGGAAAACCTCTAGTGCCTTTGGGGCTGGCTGAAAAATTCCTGCAGTGTAAGTGGATGCCCAAGTGGTCCAGTCTTCCTGTCAAGCCATTCTGCTCTTTAAAAACATCTGATCACCTGTGGCAGATGTGGGTTGTGTCTCCTTGCCCAAACAACCAGATCTGGTGCTCACCCCACCCCATCTGACATACAACCCATGTGTTTAGATGCCTGCAGGGTCCTCAGACACGCTGTTAGCACACTACATTCTACTCCAAGGTTCCGTGTTCAAGGGGACTTTGTATTTTCTAGTGCCCATTTCCTGCCTTAACTTTGGTTCTGGTTTAAAGTGTAGACAGTGCTGATCAACAAGTAAAATAGGTGAGGAGACTACTCTGGTCTCTGAGCTCTAAAACTGCGGGCTGCCTAATGTCTGTGCTTGACACTTGAGCCAGACCATCTCAGTACTGACGAGGAAGTCAACAGCCTTACCTCCATCTTTGCTAGCACTTCAAGTTCACTCAGGCATGTTTCCAAGTATTTCTAGGAAATGTTTTGATAAAAAGGAAGGTGTCATGGGGTTGGGGCACAGCTCCCTGAGAGCATCTGCCTAGTATGTACGAGGCCCTGGTTGCATCCTCAGCACCAGCATAAAGTGTCAAATTAGAACTAGGACACTGAAATCTCAAGACCATTCTTACCATAAGCCAAATGAACTGCCGATGGTCTTGGGCCAACCCACACAAGCAGGCTAAACTTCAGAGTAGTGCTAAAACCACTGCTCCTACAGAGGACAAAAGGGAAGCCCTACAGGCTTACATGTAACATACACCAGTGCAGAGGGATGGGGCCTCTGGCTGGTGGACTGAGAACAGGACCTGCATCTCAATACAGTTCGAGGGCTCAGCCGGGACAAAGGCGTGTACCGCATTCAAACAGACCTAGGCTCAGCAGTGTACACACCTCGCCCGCTGCCGCCAGCAGCAGACACTGCAGCGGGACGTGGTTTCTTAAACTGTATGATTGTAGCTCCTTGCGAATCTGTCCCTCCTCAAAATCCATTTCAAATTTCAACAGAATCTAAATGATTAATAAACTCATGTTTCGAAACTTATCAGTTTTTGGGGGCTATTTGGTGTTTAAGACAGGAGCTCACGTAGCCCAGGCTGGCTTCAAACACAGTACACAGCTGAGGGTCAGTGAAGCCTGATCCTGCTGCCTCTGCCTAAGGGCTGGGATGCAAGGCTTACGGCACCACAGCCAGCTTGGATGACCTGCACTGCTGGATGGTGATGCTCAGACCGCAGTTAGTGTACTTTTTGTCAAGAAATTTATTAACTTTACAAACACTATTTCACTCACTCATTAAAAAAGTTTTACAATTAAGTCTGTAATAAAACCACGTAACGTTCACCAATGCATTCCAGCCCAGTTCCAGCCATTGAGTATAAGAAACCACTTTAAAACAGCAGTTTTCATTCCCATCAGGTAAGGGTGTTAAACTGAAAATATTCCTTATAACAGGCTGTCATCCAAGAAATCCACTTTACGTTACTGTGTGGCAGAATGTCTCTAGCACGGATATACTCCGTCTCTGCAGTCTCTTTCACACCAGTTTCACAACAGGAAAGTACTTGTGAACAGAGAAATCAAATTCAGGAGGAACCTATGAAGAAAGCCAGAAAGCCAATGAATACATCCGCGAGTGTTCAGGCAGTGGACAATGAGTACTTTGCACGTCACGTGTTTCAGAAATGAGGCAGTAGAAAAGACACTGGCCTAATAATGGCAGCAGTCAAACAGAGAAACGAGGAAGCTGCTTCTCTTTCATGAAGGGCATGAGAAAAACATCCGGGCCATCTGTTTCTTATCTTTGGAGAAAGTTAAAGGAAGATGGACGTCCCTTCGAGACTAGGCACCCAGATCACGCTGACAGCACAGCTCAACTGCAGGGTAACAAGTGAGGACAAAGCCACACACAACAGCCACATGCCACAAAGTTGCCCCAGAAGCTGGCCATATTAATACCGTATGTTATCAGTGTTTAAAGACAGTCTTGGGGCTGAGGAAATGGCTCAGTTGGTTCCTAGCACCTGTTAAAAAGCTGGACATGAGTGCACACACCTAAAATTCTAGTGCTGGGGAGGTGGAGGCAGCTGCACCTTGGGGCTTGCTAGCTAGTCAGGTTAGCTATTGGTGGGCTCCAGGTTCAGTGATCCCTGTTTCAAAAACTAACAAAGATGGAGTGAACATGTATCCACACAGAGTGGGTACATACCCTGAAGTGGGGGTAGGGGGTGGGGTGGGGTGGGATTTGGATCTTTCCTTCTGCAGCATAGGTTCCAGTTCCAGTTACTACACTAAGGTCAGCCTGCATGGCAGGCACCTTGACATACTGATCATTTTGCCAGCCTCTATTTCTAAGCTCTTGACACTCTGGCCCATACTTTTCTTAAACTGCCTGAAGTTAGCCAATGATTTATATGAGAGCCAGAGAAAAAAGAGCATGAGTTCTAAATCTTAAAATGTGTCAAAGAAAAATAGTGAGCTTTACTTCTCAGCAGCTGAGCCCCTCCTCTTCTAGGATGACTGACACAATGTGTGTGTGACCTTTGCTAGAACAGCACACAGGGGATGTGCACTCACCTTTGACTCTTTTTTGTGCCCTCCTGCTAAAAGCTTCATGACCACAAAGTTGGGCTTGGCAACCTTGAGGATCCTACTGACCTGAAACAAGAGGAGCCATCAGCAGCGCAGTACAGCAGGGCAGGGTCGCGAGGTGCCGGTGCTGTGCTGCATGCACTCGCACACTGCACTTCTCTGAACACACCTCCAGTCACTGCAGGCCCTGCAGAGACCGCAGTTGTGTTCAGAACATGCAGCAATACCGCAGATTGACCACGGACCCCCAAGTCCTCTCATCCATGAGTTCCCATGAAAACTGCTGAGGACCGAGTTAATGGAGAGTCTCCCACTGCACATTCAATGGTGGATGCATAGACACCGACCAGCACAGCCTAGCTCTGCACTTGCAGCACATGGCTGTATTTATAGCTTAGAAACAAAGCTGACAAGGAGCGAGTGTTCCTGGAGCAATAACTTATTTCTGACAGCTACTAGTCCACACAGTTTCACTGAAACACATGAATCATAACAGTGATGCTAGATTCCTCCCACTTCTGCATTACTGACCCCTGGAAGTACCAAAGGGCAGGATGGGTTCTTCAATCCCACAACAGATATCCACCTGCCTACAGAAAGCACTTCATTTCCACAGCTCCTGGAGAAGGTGCACACAGAAGTTCAGAGCTGTAATCTCAGCACCTGAGGCTGAATAAGAGGCCTGCCAGGGTCTGAGGTCAGCCCAGGTAGTTCCAGGCCTGAACTACAGGATGAGACCTTGTCTCAAAAAATAAATTAATAATTTGACATGTCCAAAACGACACTGGTCCGCAGCAATCTTGCCAACATGCAAACCAATGAGTTCAGTTGCCCAGGCCCTTTCAAGTCCTCCCTGATTCTCCCATATTCCACGTCTAACCCATGAATCAACCCAGAAGACTGTACATCTGGGGAGAAGGCTGACCACACCTCCTCTCCTACGTTGTGACTTTCACCTCTGCAGCCCGAGTTCACTGTCAGCAGAGCATCAGAGCGCTCCTCAATCACAGGCAGACCTGGCTGTCCTTTGCTCACATTCCAGTACTCGCTTCTCCTAACCCCACCACAGGATCCCTGACTGCGGCTCAAACCCTTCAGGTACACAGCTCTGCACTGTTCTGCACCTGGGTCCCCCGTCCAGAAGGGTCCATCCCTGACATGGGACTTGCTTCCCCTTCTAAAACGTACTAAACTGGGTTATTTAAAATGCTTAAAGCATCTCAGTGGTAGAAGTATTTGTACTGAGTGCTCAAGACCCTGGGCTTAACACTAAGCAGTAGGAAAGCAGGGTTCCCTCTCTGCCTATGATGGCAGTTCAGAGTTCTCTGTACAGTACACACCACAACCCCTCCCCTCACCCATCACAACTGTTCTCTGCTGGGAATATATAGATACTTGACAAATCTTTGAATAAAACAATGAAATTCCCACTAAATGAAATGTCTTCCATTATTGAACCTCCCTCAACTTTTTGTAATTACCATTTTTATTAGCTGGAGTATATACATTGTTTTTGTTTTTGAGATAGGGTCTCACTATGTAGTCATAGCTGGCCTTGAACTCAGAGAGATCCTTCTGCCTCTGCCATTACACCCAACTAAAATACAATTTTTACATCTCCTTCCTGCTTTCTTCTCCAAGGCATTCAATGTTTCTCAGAGTCTAAGGCAGAACAGAAGTGACTTGTTCGCATAATACAGCCCCCTCTGCCAACTTTCAATAAAATGGCAGTGTATCACTTACACTGTTAGATCCTTGTTAGCTTAATCTCCTTGGCCCCGTGAGTGGCTGGACTGTAGTTATACTATTTGCAATTAATTAAAACCTGCTCTGTGATTACTCACCTATACTCATCACTCTTTCTGTATGTCACATGTATCTGAAAGGTGATTTCCCCTTGTGAATTTATTTGCAGTGCTAGGCCTCGTGTGACAGGTAAGCACACTCCATCCCTGAGCCTAGCACTGGTTGTTTCTGATAGATAATGCGGAATCACCTGCACCAAGTTGCATCAAGGGCCCCCCGGTGACCAACACACGTCAAGAGTAATTCAGTTACGTTGGAGACAGTACAAACTATGAGATCATCAAATGTCTAAACCATGTTTGCTTTCAAAGTTTATTCTGGTCTATCAGTCTTTTTTAATGCAATAGCTTTTACTTCAAATGGTCAAGTATGGTAAAATGTTCTCTAGTAACTGGCTATGTGATTTTTCATATTTAAGACTTATAATGAAAGTTGGGCATGGTAGATCATGACCTAGTCATCCTAACACTAGAGAGGCAGAGGCAAGAGGATTACCGGGAATTCAGAGACCAGCCTGGACTAGAGTGAGACCCTATGGGGTGCAGTGAAGGCTTACAATGGTTAAGTTGACAAACTTACCTGAAATTCTTGCTAGTGCTGTCCAGCTGACTCACTATAGTTAACGTCCACCTAGTGGCAGGATGTGCTTCCTGTCAAGTGTGTCCCCTGGAAATACAGTGAACCCACTCTTACCTCCCGGTCTGGGTTGGGGATGTTTTCAAGGATCATCTTCGCTTGTTGAAAATGCTTACTAGCTGCCATATACAGCTCCGGAGACTGAGGAGGAGGGCTGTATTTATTGAGGTCAGACATTTCCTAAACAGAAGGGAGACTATCATAATATATTTAATATAAACCCTTTAAAGTTATTACTAATTGACTCCCCAGCCATCCAGATGCCGAAGCAATTGCTTAGCACATCTCAGACTGAACCCGTGATATGCAGATCTTAACCTGCACACACCTTATCTCAATTATCCTAATGATGTAAACAAACTGCTCATGTGATCAACACGTCCAAACACTTTCTACACCATCAAGACTGTTACTTTAGCACTTGTCCCACTGGCGCAGCAAGGTGGGTTGGTTGTAAACACAACCTCTCTAGCAGGGCGTCTAGCGGAAGGGCTTGCTGTGCCCCCTCCCCCCCCAGCAGGCTCACCTTGAACTGCAGGTAGTGCACTGGGGGTGGGGTCATCACGCTGTTGAATGGAGCAAACCTGTGCTCATACCGAACCTGCTCACTATCAAGCTCAAACTTGGGCTTGCGCACTTTGCCATCCATGTCAAATGCTACCATCGTCTAAGGAGAAGGGAGTGAGAGCATAAGAAAGAAGTCTGTGTGAAAGGGGAGCATGTACAGGAGACAGGAAAAAGAAGTCACAACTTAAATACTTAAAATGGCATCTCAGAAATCAGAAAAAAGAAGAGTAAAACAGACTTCTCATCCATTTTCAATTTATATGCCATGCTTTATATAAAAAATTTCCAGCCTCTGGTTGTTTACCAAATACCAAGTAATCAGCCCTGAAATCATATACATACAGGTAACGTTATATGTACTGGGGAGACTGTAATTATTTAGGTATATGCACACACACACACATACACACATACACACACACACACACACACACATCTTGTGTGTGTAGACATTGAAGAGGCCATGACTTTGAGAGAAAGGTGATTATACATGGGAGGAGTTGGAGGGAAAAGAGGGGAAAATGATACACTAATTTAAAAATAGTAATTTTTCCAGCCCCTGTGGGAACACACACACATCCCCTTCCACCCCACCTCCCCGACACCACTCTTCCACATCTCATGCTTCTGTAGTTGCCTTGAGACTTGAAGTAAAATGTTGACGGAATAAGTCCCTTATAGTGTCTTTTCCAGGTCCCCTCTTGGTTTTGGGAACCTCAGGTGAGTCACCCCAGATCTTTCTGAATTGCCAGTCCAATCTAAGAATTAATGTCCACAGCCTTGTAAAACTATCTGCTATTGCGTACAGCAGCCATGCTGGAGTCTCCTCCTCCACACTGCACTGCAGGAGCGCTATCTGGCTGTGAGCCAGTGCCAACTGTCTGAGTACACAGCTAGAGTGGAGTGAGGGAGCCTCACAGATGGAAACAAAATGGGGGTGGGAGAGCCGGATGGTAGGGGCACCGTCTTTAATCTCAGCACTTATGAGAAAGGCAGGCAGATTTCTGTGAGTTCAAGACCAGCCTGGTTTACAGAATGAGTTCCAGGACAGCCAGGGCTATACAGAGAAACCCTGTCTTGAGAAAGAAGAAAAAGGAATGAGTGCAAAACATCAAGAGGTCTTGATTTCACCACTTACTTTGAACATCCCAGCACACATGTTCTGATAGGCCTGGCTCATTGTGATCTCTCGGCTCAATGGGCGAACTGTAATCAGAAACAAAAAATCTTCTCTACTCTTTTCCCCTCTCCTAAATTACTGTAGAAGAAAAACTAAATAAGAAATACCCCACTTATTTACTGAATGTAAACTCCACTTTGCTTCTCTAAATTTTATTTATAAATAAATCTTCTCTAAATTAAATCTATAAATAATACAACTGTGTTCTCTTACTAGCTAACACTCTAGAATTTTGGCAAGACATAATGGTAGTCCCACTGAAACATCTGCTTCCTGGGGTTTTTAACTCTGTGATTACCTGTCCACACCAACACAGCAGCACAACTCAGGGGGGACCCCTGCCTGCTCTCATCTATTCTGTTGGTACAACCCATGTGCTGCCTCCTGCTCTAAGGCTTCTGGTGTATGAACTGGAAAGGACCTGAACAGTGCCACCACTGACACTGGCACCCAGCCTCCCCTCTAGTCTGTGCAGGGTGGTGGAAGAGGACGGCAGACACTGTCACACCTGCAATCCCAACACGGGGCAGACTGGCAAGCGTGCTGTTGATTCAGGCCAGCCTGGCTAACAGCGAGACCCTCGCTGAATAAGAAATGAGACCATCTACTGCACCTTTCTTTTTCTTCTTTGTTTTTTTGCTGCTACGGCCTTTCTGCTGCTCTTCCATTATCCTCTCCTCCGCCATCTGAGAGCCATCAGCACGGCTCAGGGTTGACATCAGCCATGCATAAAGGAATTCAGAGAGGTACCTTAAGGGTCACAAAGTATCAGTTAATGGCAGATATCTAAATGGGACAGCCTTACCAATACATTATTAATAATAATGAAAAGGTTTATTATTTCATACTGATGAGAGGAACTGAAGCCACAGCCTCAGAGACTAACACAAGCACATATTCCAATACACCTTCAGCCCCATGTAGACAACTTTTGAAATGCTTTAAAGTTTGTAAAACACAGGTTTTTTTGGGGGGAGGAGGAGGGTTTGATAAGCGTAGATCTTACAAATGAGCACTGAAAGGGATCTCTCCCTTTCCACATTTTACAACTTTTCAAAAGATTTCTGGATAATTATCTACATACATGCAAGTTAGAATACCCTTATTTTTTCAGGACACAATTCACCCCAGCCTATTAATTAAATACTTTCTTTGCAAAGCAAATGAAAAAAATTAACTCAGAAAGTGTCAAAAATTATTGGCACCAATTAAAACTCACTCTAGAACTTTTAAAAACATCTATGTTTATTTACCTTGAATTTATTCAATAAACAAATGTAAAGCAGGATATCCTACGAAAACATTGTTCGAGTTTAACCTAACAAGGCACCTAAGTCAGAAAAGCAGTTCAAATCTAGGAGACTGCATACTGTTTCCAGTATAACCAGCAACATGAAAATCTAAGGACTCATATAAATGAATAAAAACAAAGATCAGGAAAATGTTTATGGTCTCTTATATATTTTAGGATGCCTATTCCCAAAACTGCACTGAAAGATGCAAGGCAGGCTCCAATATTAAAGCACATATAAAACAGAACATTTTAATGCCATCATTATGATGTGCATGTGTGTGCAGGTGACAAAGAGCACACATGGAGACTAGGGCACAGCTCTGTGCAGTCAGTTCTCCCTTTCCTCACTTCACGTGGGTTCCTGAGTTGCACTTAGGTCATCAGGCTGTATGGAAATTTATTTTACCTGCTGAGCCATCTTGTTGTCCAAAACAGAATCCTTTCAGCCAACAGAAACTAATCAAAGTCCACACTGGAATTACATAGGTCTTACCTTCTCAAGCTTTAGCACTACGGTTCCCACAGGTAAGGGATACACACATCTCATGAAAGAGTAGATAATATTAGCATACACCTTAGAGAGTACACTGAGGGGCTGCAATGTCCATTGCAAAGCTGCACAGTAAGTAACAGGTGATGTTTAACTGTCCATTATCTGAGGACAGATGGTGACGGGAAGGGATGACATGACTTTCGAACACTAGGTACTTCTCATTTTTATTAGGAGCTTTACCAGCAGCGACAGTTATATTTAAAAAGAGCCAGAATGCTGACATTCTGTAACATTGGCCCTCCAACTGCCATCTCTGGGCCAGCAGCAGTACTCCCTGGGAAGTAGCTAGAAATGGAAATGACGGGCTCCCTCCCTCTGTACATCTACTAAACTCAGGGCTGACTATAGACGAGGGAGCAGACAGCCATGGCAGATTCATCACTTGTTCCTGCTGTTCATTTCATGAAGGCCTAGAGACACAGGAACTACATTTATAAGCAAAGCACGATGATTCTGCAAAAAGTTAGAAGTTTGATCTGCAATTCCAGAGCCAACGATCCGTGTAGAACTTCCCAAGCAGCCCACTGGAGTTTCTGGATGTAGAATTAGAATTACACCAAGGACCACGTGGGGTGGCTAGTCAGTTCTCACATTCAGCTTGTACAGCCTAGATTGGCCTCTCAGAACCTCAGCGGGGAAGGAAGAGCTTTCCCTTCTCAGGGTAGGGATTCGTTTAAAAAGCAAATACACTGAAGTGTAACAAACTTAAGCATTTGATGAACAGAAAACTGTTTAAAATGCCTCAATCCTTTGACAGATGAAGATAACTCATCACTACGCTGACTTCACTGTTTTCTACAGCTTTTCTATGGCTAGGATCCTCAAACAGCCTCTTCCTAAGGAACCTTTATCTTTCCTCTAGTGAGGGGAAGAGCTACTCTACAGACGGTTCCTCACGGATTATGCTCAACGGGTGTGCAGTCATGATATCCCACAAGAAAGCTCCTTCTGCTGAGTGCGTCCACAGCATGGACTGTTGCTGCAGAAGTCACAGCAAACTGTGTTTATGTTTCTCCACAGCTGCAAATAGAAGATGCTGAATTAACCCTTTTACCTTTATTAGTACCTTCTACAGAAATATGAAAAGGGGAAGAATGTTTGTATAACAGTAAAGATGTGTTCTTTGACCTATTTTCAAAATAGTTTACCAACTGTGCCACAACTACAATAAAAATTCACTGAAGGAAGAAAATGTTGCAGGGGCCAGTGAGATGGCCCAGCTGGTCAGAGACTGCCAGCCTGACTTCAATCCCCAGAGCCTATGCTAAAAAAAAAAGTCAAGTATAGTCCCACATATCTGTAAGCCCGCCCTTCTCAGCTTGAGATGGCAGACAGCAGCATAACCTAGAACTTCTACACCACACAGCATGGAGACACCGCCTCAACAAGGGGGAAGTAAAGCACCAACTCCTGGAAGCATGTGCTGGAACACACACAGCACCCCAAACTGCACTCTTTGCAGACGCATGCTTAGACCTCGGCTCTCCCATCACTGCTAGCTGCAACGGTCCTCACCAGTAGATATAGTAGTACTCATGCATGCTGTACAGCTCCAGCTCAAAGCCACTGAGCAGATACTGGATCATAATCCGAAGGTTATGGTAGAGGACCCAGGTCCCCAAACACGCCAGGTGCTGTCTCTGGGGCTCCTGCTTCAACAGCATAGTGTGAAGTGCTGCATCGACCTTCTCTGCCTGCAAATAGTTATTGAAAGAACTTGAAAATAGAAACATGGATGTAAATCTCACAACCCAAAAGTTTTGCTTTCAAATGCTTCTGGTCAGGCTTAAGTTTTTATCCTACAATAATTAACATTTACCCAAATTATTCCCAAAATAATCATCCAGTTTCATGTAAGTTATTCTATCCAAAGTGGTGGTATAGACTTGTAAACCTATAGTACCATCAACCTATACCAGAGACTGAGACAGGGGGATCATATGAGCACAACGGCTAAAAAATAAGCCTGACCAAACAATCAGGCCCTGTCTGAAAACAACAAGCCTCAACCTGTCATTTCAGGTCTTGTGGTATTAGTAATGGGAACCACTGTTGCCCACAAGCAAGCTTTAAACTGTTCCATTGTGGGCTAAACTCGCCATGAAACCATAGTTCTCTACAAATGCCACAATTTATTCTCACAAACAAAGACATGATTTAAAATGTCTATAACTGGCCAGGCAGTGGTGGCGCACTCCTTTAATCCCAGCACTCGGGAGGCAGATGCAGGCGGATCTTTGAGTTCCAGGCCAACCAGGTCTACAGAGCAAGTTCTAGGACAGCCAAGGTAACACAGAGAAACCTGTCTTGAAAAACTAAAATGAACAAACAACACCCCCGCCCCCCAAACCAAGCCAAAAATAAAACCAAACCATCCTCTGAAGCATAACACTCAAATTTTATATGGAAAATAAGACATATCATAGTGAAAAAATAATCCTCTAATCATTGTTTTTGAAGAATTGCTTTTCAAAAGTTAAAAGTATGAGAAAACTGTCCCCACGTGACCTAGGATGGCCTTGAACTTGACCCTTCTGTCTCACACTCCCCAGTTCAGCGACTGTAAGTATGCACTCTTATGCATGCTACTCATGTAGTCTATGACTTGCTGTGGTTCAGAAAAAGACACCTGGCTCTTACCTCATCTTGCAAGGTAGCAAACTCCTCAAGAATGTGACCCAGTTTGTCTCTCTGCCGAGCCCTGTTATGGCCATGGATCTGAACAAGACTACAAAACGGCTGTAAGACACAGAAAACTTGTTAACGGTCAACGTGAAATTTCTTCATTCCAAAAAAATATGTCCGATTCTAAAACCTCGTTTAAACGTGTATGCACATGTGGAGACATATACACACAATCACAATGCTTATACTTCTTACATAACAGGTGTCCATTTTAAATGAATTCAATATCAAAACAACCCAAGCTGTAGTTCTTACCCGAACACAGTGGGTAACAAAGGAGTCGATACAGTCCTTAGCCTGGTGATTATTGTAGAGGCAACACCTGTAAGATAAGTCATATACTAACATCAAACTATGTATCTTAGACAAAAGAAGCAGTGATTACTATAGATGCTACTGGCAGAGAAAACAACCCAATACATTATGAAGTCGAAGAAAATTAGCACTATGTTAAACATCTCATTACTGTGCTTTCCATATTTGTGTATGTGATCTACTAGTGAGAACAGGAACTGTCAAGTCCTATACTTCCCTGGCCTTTCATCACTTCCTCTTCAATAACATCCTCTTAGGAACCACAGAGTCTTAATTTCCAAGTCGCAACCTCACTTGCAACTAAGGGTTGTAAACACCACCTGTGCTCCCTGACCCTCTCTACTGTCTTTGTGAAGTGCTGTCCTTGCTCCTCATCTAACTGTCCCTGCCTGACAGCCTTTAAGGACTAGAGGAGCTACAGAGGCCAAACAGATACCAGGACCTTAAAGACAAACCGTGCAAGGCCAGTGCTGTAGGATCTAAGGCAATGGAGGAAAAGCAGGTGAGACTTTCTCCTGGGGCCTTGATGGGAATTTGCCAAAGAGGAGCAATCTCATGAGCCTCAAAGAGAAGCAGAACCGTGCGGCCAGGAGGGAGCAAAGCAGAACAGCAGGGATGAGGCAAGGGATCATTCAAATTAGAAAAATAATAATAATAAAAGGCTAGAAGACCCTTTGTGTCTTTAATTACCAAATAAAATTAAAAACCTTTCCGGTCCTACAAATAATCATCAAGCTTAAATCTAAGTAGCTGAGAGGAGGATGCTCACAAATAAGCTTTAGACAGACAGAAAGCACTGCCTGACAGCAGAGCAGAACTGATGAGGACATGAGGGTCACAGAGTACCCACAGGTGATCTGAAGACCCCAAGCATCAGCTGTGTTTGCTGCTGGTTTATGTCAACTTGGCACAAGCTGGAGACATTTTGAAAGAGGAAACTTTGACTGGGAAAATGCCCCTGCCAGGCTGGCCTGTAGGTCTTTACTGATTGATGACTGAAACCAGGGTGGCCGATGGTCCTGCGTGCTGTAAGAAAGTAGGCGCAGCAACCAGTAAACAGTGTTCTCCTGTCCTGTGCAGTAGTTCCTGCCAGGGTTCCCTCAAAGGATGCAGTGTCACCTGACAACTGAAAGCTGAAATCAACCCTTTAGTGCCCAGGTAACTTTTGGTCATGGGGCTTGATCAAAGCAACAGACACCCTAATGAAGACACTCAGAAAGGAAAAAGGAGAAGAGAGTGAGACAATAGTCAAACAAGCAATAATGCAGAAAATGATCTGATCTGAAGAATTAATGGTAAGATCTAGATAGAACTGGTTAAAAATCACATGTGACCATCCTAATAAAACTCCTGAAATCTTAAAAGAAACCCCAGTGAGCCAGAGGAAAATTTCAAATCACTTACAAAGGAAAAAAGAGAATTCTAAGTAGGAGAGAACCCAGGGCTTCGTGTATATGAGCCATCAACTCTAACATGACCAGACATGGTGGCGCATACCTGTAATCCTGGAATTTGAGGCAGAGGCAGAAGGAGTTCTGTGTGGATTCAGAAGAGCCTGGTCTACATACTGAAACACCGCCTCAAACACACACAACCACAAACCACTACTGAGCTCTAACTCCAGCCTGGCATCAGATTCTTACTTGTGACAACATACTAGTTCAAACCAGCGGAACTACAGCTATAGGTCATCACACTATGGCATCTGCCTGACACACTTGATTATCACCATGTGTAGTGACTATATCTGTCTTTTCAGATGGCTGGGGCGGGGGGGGGGGACGACACGGGTAAACCTGAGATTGATCCTCTGAACTCACAGAGTGAAAGTGGGGAATCAAACCCCACTAGTTGTTCTTGGACCTCCATCTGCATGCTGTGGCACAGGGTTCACCCACCGAATCTCAAAACGTTTTTAACACCAAGGGCAATGAATGAAGAACAGTGTTCCCGAGGACACCGGGTCAGTTTCCTGCAGGTCTCCGGCATGTCTGGGGCTGGTGAGTACTATATAACCCTTTCTGTTATCTGGTGTTTGGTGACAACGGCAGTCACAGGACTCCACGGGGAGTCACAAGCCATGGTTTGAGAAGCTGCTATGTAGAGTATGAGGCCTCAGTCAGAACTCACTGCTCTGCGCATCTCTATTCTGCAGACATCTGCAGAGATGGCAAAAGTGGTGCAAATACCGATTTGAAGGTTGCCAATGAATCTGAGCAAACAGGAAATCTGTAAACAAAGTCATAAACACTCCACTATTTAAATGTCAAAAAGTGCAACCATGCACAGGATAGGTGTGTAGAGAGGCTTGTCACACAGGAAAGGCCAAGTCCAAATGACAGGATTTACGCACTTTGGAGACAGGCCTACTAGGAACTGAATGGAGGACTGAACAATGCTACACATGTCACTAATGAACAAGATCTAGATCATCTGTGCCAGATTTTCAGTCTCATATACCAAAGGCTAGATTACAGGGGAATGAGTGTGTTGTACTTATATTTATTTTTTTTGTATTTGTTTTTTAGAGACAGGGTTTTTCTGTGTAGCCTTGACTGTTCTAGAACTTGCTCTGTAGACAAGGCTGGCCTCAAACTCACAGAGATCCACCTGCCTCTGCCTCTCAAGTGTTGGGATTAAAGGTGTGTGCCACCACCACCGCCCAAACATTCAGAGTTAAGTAGCATCAAGTAATTTCAATCACTTTGGAAAGCAATTTAACAAAACAAAATTGAAGATGCATGTAGCCTTAGGATCCATAATTATTATAACTATAGCTCACATGCACAGAGATATATTCAAAGACATCCACATAGCAACAATTTTAAAAGTGAAAAATTAAACACAGATATCCAATTGTAGAATAGCAAAATAACTGAAGAATGTTCAGAGTGAGTTTTCAAAAATCATAGGTTTTATACCTGCTAGGCATGGCTGCACATGCCTGTAATCCTATCACTTGGAAAGTGGAGGTAGGAGGATCAAGAATTGAAGAGCAGCCTAGGCTACATGAAACTCTGTCTCAAAAATACAAAACAAAGAAAAGAAATAAAGTTTTATACAGGTCATTTTTAAACAGGCATTAAAACTCAAATAAGGACAAAGAACTAAAGTGGCAATATGTATGTACATCTTTAAAACTAGAAATAAGCTAGAACCCTTTTGTGGGCATGTTTAGTAAGCGTACACCAAGCTGCAGTGCCTCTCAGGGCAGAAGGAAAAAAGGACCAGAGGCAGGAAGAGGGGATGAAACAATAGCAGGGAGGAATGGCCTTCACGCACACAGACGGGACCAGGGGGTAAAATACAACTAAGAACTGGCGAGGTGGTGCACACCTTTGATCCCAGCACTCAGGAGGCAGAGGCAGGTGGCTCTCTGAGTTTCAGTCCAGACTGTCTCTGTCTGTCTGTCTGTCTGTCTGTCTCTGTCTCTCTCTGTCTCTGTCTCTCTCTCTCTCTCTCTCACACACACACACACACACACACACACACACACACACACACACACACACAAACTGTTGCCAAGGGCTGGTGGTAGTGACAGAAGAGCAGATGGATAGCAGATAACAACCATTTTCTAGTAAGAAAAAGACAAGATTTGTAAAAATGAAAAACAACATTTTTCTAACTATTCTAAGTCAGAAATAAGTAATTCCCATGATATATTACTCATGTTAACATGGATTTAGTATCACTTTTTTTTAAATTAATTAAAAAATATTTTTAAAGTAACTTTTAACTTCTAAAACAGTACCTATCAACAGGTTTGACCAATGTGACACAATCTATTTGGTTCCTTAATTATTTTTAGAACAAAGAGGTTAAGAACTACTGCTGTTTCCAATGTATTTATGCAGTATAATTCACGAGGCCCAATCCAAAGAGTTGTTGGAGCTATCAGGAAATTTCTCCTGTGTGTGTGTGTGGGGGGGGGGGCACGCTCTATCACTCTTGCACACACACACACATCACTGTCTCCAAAATGAGGGAAAGACCATGGGAGGTGAATTAGCGGTCTACACACACACACACACACACACACACACACACACACAAACACACACGCCTGATGACCGTCTAATTACTTCTCAAAGGCCTCATGTTTCTAAGAACCATCACACACTGAGTTATAGTACTAGCTGCGATTCTTGGAGAAAGACAAGATACAAACATTTCACCCAAAACAGCAGCACTTATGTACAGAAAGGACAATGTAGCAGAATTTCTAAATTAAAAAGAAAAGGGGAAATTAATAAGCACGATCAAACCAGGAAAAGGAGAGTAAAGAAAATACACAGTAAGATACTTAACTGTTACAGTAAATATTGAAAAGGCTAATGTTTTTAATAAATCTGGACTAACAAGGGAAAAACACCTGAGTATCTTACTGTGTATTTTCTTTACTCTGCCTAGGAGACCAGTTTTCTTCCTTTTAAAGGAGACACCCAATCACTCCGTCTCCCTTCCACTTAGCACACACTTTACAAAAACACTCGGCACACGAGTGTCATGCTATTTCATCCACCCTCCCCTTCACTCCTCTACTCAGTCTACACATATTTACTGGTGTCGACTGCACGCTCGTCTCCGGGGTCGCAGCTAGCGTCAGTGAGTGGTTATGTCCTCACTGGGGCAGTGGAGAGAGCAGCACCACAACACAGCAGGCACTGCAGGAGAGACGCAGGGGAGGAGGAAGGAGGTGGCCAATGAGACACTCAGCAGACTGAGGGGAGCAGGTGCAGAGCTTTGGGTCCCCATCCTTCACCCTTTATAAATCCCAGCAAGAGAAAACTCCCAAACAGCAAGAAAGTCAGTAAGTATGTCTGGGGGCAGAGTGAACAGCAAGAACAGGGAGATGAGGCTGTAGAGCAGGAGACAGGACATGGATCTCCAGAGCACACGGGTCTTCTGGGCTGAATTACAAGACCACTGCCTGTATGGTGACCATGAGGTGGAATGGTAGTTGTTATTTGCAGTCTCCCAGGAGGAAAGGCTGAGGTTGTAACCAACACTGTCTACAGAGCTTCCTTCGGGACTGAACAAACTCACATCTAGTGGCATGCATGCCGCCCGACTTCCTCTTCATGTCCTTCTTGCCAAAAACACTGCTGGCTTATCCTGGTAATATCCTAAATATACTTACATGAATACTGGTCTCAAGGTAGTTTCCAGGAAGCCCAAACACAGGGAAGCTACCAGTTTTACATGGCATGGTGAGAATGCTGAAGCATTAATATTTCATGTATGAAAATACATGTCATATTCTTATGCTTTTACAAATGCTGGGTTCTCTGTACGAAATGATGACTCAGTTCTTCCCTTTCTGCTGGAAAAAATAAGAAAGCCCTACTCATCTCTCAAAGCACCAACTCAAACAGCTGCATGCCGGCATCCCAGGCTCTATGACAGGAGGGTAGTCTGAACAGCAGTGACTGTCTATATGGTAGACCGGCACTAAGAGGTAAGGCCTCGGCTGTAAGGAGTACAGAGAAGCTGGTGTTCACAAGCACACAGTACAGCACCTCTAGTAACACTTACTTGGGGGAGAGCACCGGAGGACTGACAAAGGACCGAAGGGCGTCTTTCACCATGTCTTGCATGAGGTGAGTTCCAAAGACCTTTTTGTTATCCACGAGGAAAGTGGTCTTGAAACAAGTATGAGACATGTTAGTGTCACTACCGCTGCCATAAGCAGCTGTCACCACTGAGACACAGACTACCTATAATACTGCAGAGTGCAAAGGAACTGAATTTCAAAAACAGGTAGATACTTTATAAAATCAGTTTGTAAATCCTTTAAAATTTTTTTATTTCATGTGTCTGGCTATATGTCTGTGCACCATGTGCATGCATGCCTAGAGATCAGATGAGGGCATCAGATCTAGGATAATAGTTACAGATGGTTGAGATGCTGGGAATCCAAATCAGGTCCTTTAGAAAAGCAGTCACCTCTTAGCCACCAAGTCATCTCTGCAGCCCCCTAAATTAATCCTTATTTAACGTGCACTTTGAAACAGATTAAATAACACGTAAAAGTATAAATTTCTTAAGTCAAGAACAACAGTGTTGAGCTGAAGGAGTCAACAGATTGAATTACAACAGACATATGAACATGTCTGAGCATACAAATGGAGGCCCAAGGTTGATACCAGGAATTATCCTGGATCAGTTGCTCTTCTACCTGACTCACTGAGGCAGGGGCTCTAATCAAGCCCAGAGCTCATGATTGTGGCTAGTGTTACCAGACAGTTTGCTCTGGAGACTCCCTGTCCCTACCTTCCAAGGCTAGAATTAGAGGCAGCCACCATACCCACCCAATAATCCTATGGGCTCAATGATACAAGCTCTGGCTGTAAGCTTGTGCAGCAAGTACTTTAACCACAAGCCACGTATCTAGCCAAGTTTATTTAATTCAAAATGTGATCTGTGAGTTACTGGTGCGCTTTTTAGTTTCACAGTATTTAGAATACTTCCCCCGGTTACCTTCCTCTTCTTGAATACTACCTTGACTCTAACTGGGTCAGAAAGCAAGTGCTCTTCGTGATCTCACTTGTCAGAGAACTCCAGAGGCTTGTCTTATGACCAGCATAAGCCCTGAGTCAGTGTTTCAATGAGCTGGGGACACAGCAGTGCGGCACTCACAGAGCAAGTGCAGGCCGAGACAAACAAAACAAGGCAGCGCCACCTAGGGGACACCTTTAACAGCAGCTACATTTTGTTCATCCATCAATAAAAGAGTGAAACTTACTTGCAACAAAGATCTTGAAAGAACACATGGTGACTGTTCACTAAATTCACAGAAAAAATCCTAATAGATATAGAAAAAGCAGTATTGTTAATAGATTAAACAAAATCTGGGGATGTTTGCATATAAAGTATAATTTTGTTCAGAAATAATATCCTATTAGTGTTAAAAATAAGATAAAGAATTAAAAGTCAGTTTTATAGAAAATGTTTAATTATACCAAGGGCTAACGACAGAGTCCGCAAATCCTTTTCAAGATCTGACCAAAACACACATCCTCATTAAATTTGTACACCAAGAAAACAATATCAACAGTAACTAGGTGATAATGAAACTTTAGCTATTATTTAAAAAAAGTAAGTACTGGGGGTGAGGGGTTCAGTGGTCAAGAGAGCACATTCTCTGTGAGGGCCCAACCGGGTTTCACGGTACATTCGGAGCTCACAACCACAACTGCTTACAACTCCAATTCCAGGGGGATCTGACACTTCTAGCCTTCAAGGACACATGCATTCATGTGTACATACCCACACACAAAAAAAACACATACACATAATTTAAAGTAATAAAAATAAATCTTAAAAAAAAAAAACAACTATCAGTAACCAGACAACTGGTATTACTTAGGATGAAGACCAAGAAATATGGGTTTACATAAGACAGAAAAGACAAGAAAATACACAAAACATTAATATTGAAAACTGAGAGACAGTGGCTAGTTTATTATATTTTTTCAACCTTTCCATTTCTATTATGTGTAAATTTTAATATTTGAAATGATAAAGCTAGGCACGTGGACTTTGTAACGCCTATGAATTGATGCAGACTGGCAGTGAGGACAAAAGAGGTGTGTGTTCCCAGGAGATGTCACCATGGAAAGCAGGTATCACAGACAGCCTGTGGCTCCATTTAGCTTCCAAAGCAGAGTATGAATCTTCCAAGAACAGCACTCAGCAATATCAGAGACGGCATTAGAAAAGCCATCATAGCCCAAACCATCAGGGCAAAGCTGTAGTAATCAGGGACTCTGACATCCCTGATCGCTGTGAAAAGTGTCTAACATACACGACGGCAAAGGGAGGGAGGGAGGGTACTCACCTAACTCCTGCTTACTTAGTTTTCTTTTTCTCCTTTAACTGGTATTCCCTCTAGTTATGACCCCTGCTATAACATCCACGCAGTGCGTTAACTCCTTTTAGAGGAAACACACCTGCACTCTCCGGTTACACCTGCTGTCGTCACGGTCACTCTAGCTCCTTTACTGGCTTCTCTTCTTCAGTCTAAATTTTAAGTATGCTTTTCTTCAGCTACTTATACCCCAGACATCTTAGCTAGGTTTCTACTTCTGTGATGAAACACCAGGACCAAAAGCAACTTGGGTAGGAAAGGGTTTATTTGGCTTTATATGCTTTCACTTCACTCTGCATCACTGAAGCAAGCCAGGGCAGGAATGCAAACAGGGCAGGAACCTGGAGGCAGGAGCTGATGCTGAGACCATGTAAGGGTGCTGTTTATTGGCTTGCTCCTCATCGCTTGTTCAGCCTGCTTTCTTATAGAACCCAGGTTCTCCAGTCCAGGGAAGGCACAATGAAGAATGGGCGGGCTCTCCTCCATCAATCACAATTTAAAATGTCCTACAGCTGGATCTTGTGGAGGCATTTTCTCAGCTGAGGTCCTTCCTTTCAGACGACGTCAGCTTGTGTCGAGTAGACACAGTGAGCATGTGCATATCTGCATGCTGTACTGAGCATGCTACCAAAGCCTATCTTCTGTGTCTGTGAGGGCACACAATGGACATATATCCTTAAACATAAAACTGACATTCACTAGACACACTGTTTTGTTGTGGAATATCCCTTTACACTATGTGAAGATATGTCACTGTGATTGGTTTAATAAAACCTAAACAGTCAGTAGGTAGGAAAGACTTTCAGGGCAGAGAATGCTGGGAAGAAGGGTAGAGAAGCCATGAGATGCAGGGCGAGCAGGATGGGCAATGCAGAGATGAGAGAATAAAGAAAAGCAGAAAATAAATGAATAGAAATGGGTTAATTTAAGTTGTAAAACTAGTTAGAATCAAGCCTAGGCTATCACCTGAGTGTTCATCGTTAACAAGAAGTCTCTGTGTGGGTATCTGGGAGCTGTTTAGTGGCTGAATGGCACTTATTTTACTCATCTCACAGAACGGACAGTCACCACTAAAAATTTAATATTTCACGTTTCTCAAGTCATAAATAGTGCAACAAATATACTCTAATGTGTGTGTGTAGGTGTGTGCATGTGAAGGACAGACATCAATACTCGGTCTCTTCATTGATAGTTCCCTGAAGCACAGCTAATAAAAACTCAAGACAGAATTGTAGTTCAACCTGAAGATCCAAAAAGCAAACAGCCAGTTACTGGCTCTTACCTCTACTTCAGTCCAAAAATGGCGATCCTGCCTCCAGGAATCTCAGAATGGGACTGAGACTGAGTCTGCTCCCATTTTATAATCCTCTCTAGGGCTGGGATTAAAGGCATGCACCACCTGGTTTCTATGGCAAACTAGTGTGGCTACTGGGATAAAGGTGTGTGTTATTGCGGCCTGGTCTGTAAGGCTGGCCAGTGTGGCTGTTTTACACTCTGACTTCAGGCAGGCTTTATTTACTAAAATAAAAATGACATGCCACTACAGCTCTCCATCTTATTGAAATAGGGTCTCTCACTGAGCCTGGAGCTATACCTGTTAATCTGGTTTGTTTTCCTCACACGTAACTACACCTTGCCACCTGACACTTATCTGAACCTTGACAATGGCAGATCAGCACACAGCAGACACAGACTGTTAGCCCCCTCCCTCCCTCCCTCCCTCCCTCCCTCCCTCCCTCCCTTCCTCCCTCCCTCCCTATCCACACTGCCCACCACGCACTGCCTGACTCCTTTCAGAGAGGCATCTGTCCTCCCTTACTATGCACTCTTAACACAGCCCCAGCAGCCCAGGCTGGCTCCCCCAGCTCCCTCTACTGACAAGGCAAATCAGAGTCCTTAAGGATGGAAGAAAACTAAGGAGTCACCCTGCTGTGCTAGTATGACGCTGGAGATGAGTCACACTTGACCCTTGACCCAAGAGCAGACAGTAGAATGATGGTTGAAAGTTAAATTAATGTCTATGCAAAAGATCAGTAAGTAACTATTAGGAAACCTGCAAAACTAGGAAATTGTGAGCATTAGGTCTAAGTATTAAGAAAAAAAATCTGACTTATGTATACCAGAGCACTGCAGAGATGTATGGGAAGCATTTGTTGTACAATAGTCTCAAAACAGACCTTTCCTTTGCTTATTGTTTTGCCTTGACCTAAGGTCTTATTACATAGCCCAGGCTAGCCCAAAACCCAAGCTTCTTCTGCTTCAGTGTCCCTGGTGCTGGGATTAGAGCCACTCACCACCAAGATTTTAGCTTTGTTGGGCTTCCAATTAGAAAGATGTTTTATCACTCAACAAAGACAGTACATGTTGTACAGGTTTAGATAAAAAGGTTTTATCTTTGTACTGTCTGTCAGTTATAAAGGCAAAATAATGAAAATGACCTAAATGTAATTTGTTATTAATGGACTAAATACTAGTTATGTTATATAAGCTTACAGTGGGATATGTCTTCAAAAGAATGTAGAAATATGCATATTTGCTGATATAAAAAGAAGCATCAAGCGGGGCGGCGCTGGTGCACACCTTTAATCCCAGCATTCAGGAGGCAGAGGCAGGTGGATCTCTGTGAGTTCGAGGCCAGTCTGGTCTACAAGAGCTAGTTCCAGGACAGGCTACAAAGCTATAGAGAAACCCCATATTGAAAAACCAAAAAAAAAAACACCAAAAAACAAACAAACAACAACAACAACAAAAAAAAGAAAGCATCAGTAACACAAAAGATTTCAAGAGAACAAAACAAGCACCATGATCTCATATTCATATGCAAGAGCACTAAAAAATCAGGTCTGGAAACACAAGTCCAAAGTCTCCACTATTCAGGAGACTAGGGCTGAAGTTCCACGTTCAAGGTCTGGCTGGACCACAGAGCCAGTCAATGCCAGCCTGAACAATTTAGTGAGAGCCTATCTCAAAGTAAAGAATTTAAAATGGGCTGGAAACATACATAGCTCAGAGGTGGAAGACTAACCTAGCATGTATGACGTTTAAGAACAACTCTCTTTATATTCTATATTTCTCATACACACACACCCACACACCCGTATATACACATACACACAGAGAAAGTATTTTGAAGGCAGAATCTATAGTTACCAAATCCTATTCCTACAATTTGGGTGATTTACCTAGTGTCTTAAGTTTAGCTTCTCAATTTCTAAAAATGTCTCAAATCCGTACAAAAATTAACTGTTATGTGTGTGCATGCGCACTCTGCCCCAAAGCTACTTACTGTTCTGTCAGTCTGTCTCTAGAGTGGCAAACTATCCTCTTACTTCACCAAAGCTCCAGAATATAGTTTTATACTTACCAGAATACAATGTAAATTTGGTAAGGTCACCACTTCACAGACTGTTTTGATTCTGTCTATTAATCTTGAGAAATAGTTGACCATTTCTTCTCTTTTAATTATTTTTGCATAGCGAGGGAAGGTGGGTGGAAGTAGCCTCTGGTTAACGAGGGGCTCAAAACCCATCATAATGGGATGGTCTATAGAAGAAAGAGGAAAGTAATATTTCCAGTATCTTTCTGGATTTTAAATGAAAACTATTAAATATAAAACAAAACCCCAAATTTTAAAGCCATTTCCAAATTCTAATCACAAAAGTCTAGTAAGTTTTATAATTTACAACTAATTTATGTATCCATATATAAATCTGAATGAGATTTAGTAACATCAAATTGTACTTCCTAGCTACATGAAAGTGGTAGATGTTAGAGCCAAAGACTATAGCAGCAGGCATTCAACAAAGGCCAGGGATAACAGCTGAATCTCATCTCCAGTCTGAGAGCAGACCTAACGTCTAGAACTGCCTGGAGGGTCACCAATAAGTGACTAGCTAACCAGTTCTAAGTCCAACGGCCCTCCTAAAACAACAGACTTTCCAGAATACAACACTGTATGACCTGCATCTTGACAAACATGGCTATACATGTTTTTTATACGTCTTATATAACGTCTCTTTCTTGGCAGTAGCTTACATGAATCATCCTTATACGAGACCAAGACAAGAGCAGACTCTCGGATGAAAACCTCTGCCCACAAGCTTTCTTCTGAGCTGTTCAGTGGGCATTTCTACTCAGTATCCCACACCTCAAAAGGCAATTTCATGCACCGTGTTTCTCCTAATCGTACCCTGTCAGACAAGAGGAGCTTCGCCTTCAGTGCTTCACCTAGTTTCCACTTAAATCAGTTAACTCTTAAGGATCCTAATGCCTATTGCTGCTTCTCTTGCTTCATTCTGACACTATGTATGACTGCTCCTTCACTGAATTAATCCTAGGCACTGCCATCTCAATTTTCTATGTGCAATACAGTCTTTTTCTACCACAAAAGCCTAAAAAATGTGTGTGTATGTATGTATATATGGATGGATGGGTGTGCGCCTGCAAGAACTTATGTGAATCCTGTGCATTCAGGAGCATGAAGTCTATGGACTGACCCCTGGAACTGGAGTTACAGGCAGTTGTGAGCCACCATACAGGTGCTGGGAATCAAACCTAGATCCTCTGCAAAAGCAGTCAGCACCCTCAACCTCTGAGATCTCTCCGATCTCCCATCTGTACCAAGTTTTGCTCATTCCCCCTTCTGTACAATGTAGTGTCCTAAGGGATCACTGGAAAGAGGTCAGTGGTTTCCTGAGACTCAACAGAAAAATCAAGATAGCTCTTTGGCTCTTTGAGGGCTGTTTTTTTTTTTGTTTGTTTTAGTATGTATCCATGTTTTGTCTGAGCTGCTATGCAGGTGCTAGTAGTCAAACCCAGCCCTCTGGAAGAGCCACTAGTGCTCTTAATTGCTGAGCCATCTCTCCAGCCCTAGGACAGCTGTTTCACAAATCCATCGTATGTACGGAGATTACATACATAAATCCCATTCCCAACTATATTCACTGTCTTTATCATTTTAAGCTTTGCTCCCATTTATAATTAACTTAGGCATGTCATTATTCCATACACATTTTGCTGGCACATGCCTTTAATCCCAGCACTCAGGAGGCAGAGGCAGGTGGATCTATATTAGTTCAAGGCCAGCCTGGTCTAAACAGTGAGTTCCAGGATAGCCAGGACTACACAAAAAAACCATATCTTGAAAAAACTGAAAAACAACGATAACAAGTTAAGCTGAGAACTGGGTAAGAGAGCTCTGTGGCGGAGTGCTTGACTAGCACACGCGAGGCGCCGAGTCCAACCTTGCAGCATAAACACACAACAAACTGAACCTGGGCCTTGGTGAGACACCTGCAAGCCCAGCACTTGCAAGGCTGAGGCAGGAGAAACTGAGAGTACCCTTATTCGCTCTCACAACATTAAACATAGATGTTTAGGCCTCCTACAAGCAGGCAACTCAATAAGTAACAGATACTGTCCCAGTGTCAGCCGTCCCTACAGCAGTGAGAAAGAACACTGAGAGCAACACCTGAGGAGGTGAGAAAGGCTCATCTGGCTCACAACCGCAGGCCACAGTCCATCACTGTAGGGAACTCAAGGAGCAGAAACCTGGTGCAGCTGTCATATCCACAGCAGAGGGCAGAGAGAATAAAATGCATGCAAGTTTGCTCTCAGGCCCCTTCCTCCACCCTTACATGATTCAGGACCCAGCCTAGGGAATGGTGGTACCCACAGTGATAGTAATATATCCACCTCGAAACAACGAAGAAAATTCCCCAGAACATGCCCAGAAGAAAATTTGAACACAGAATTTCTGTAATCACAAGTAAGCTACCTTAACATGTTAGAGTCATTTTATAAACATTTCCAGAATTAGATCATAATGTGTTTCAGAGTTGTGGATATTTTACACCTCAATAATCCACGAATACAAAAACCATCCCATGAGCTTTAGGGATAATCAGTGTTGCTTTACACTCTAAATTGTTGACCCACTAGGGAATTTTACAGCAGAGATACGCTGTTCCTGCTAAAACTCATTTAACATACAAAATAAATATGAATGCTACCAACATGTCAAGCACTCTATTCCTAAAACTCTTCAGAGTCTCATGCACAAGTATAGTGTAGTGTGAAGACAGGCAGCCGTGAGTACCATGAACCTCAGGAACACGAGACTATGTAACGACTGTAATGGGTTTCTCAAAGAAATAAAGAAAGGAGATGATGAAAAAGCAAGTTACTGCTGGCATCCGTAGTACAAACAAAAGACAGGGTACATATAGAGTCCAACAGTAGGGTACAAGAAAGATACGGCCAGCCGGGCGGTGGTGGCGCATGCCTTTAATCCCAGCACTCGGGAGGCAGAGGCAGGCAGATCTCTGTGAGTTTGAGGCCAGCCTGGGCTACAAGAGCTCGTGCCAGGACAGGAACCAAAAAAAGCTACGGAGAAACCTTGTCTCAAAAAATCCAAAAAAAAAAAAAAAAAAAAAAAAAAGAGAGAAAGATATGGCCAAGTTCTACCAACTGTTTTTAATCTAGACTAAATCAACAAAGCAGCCTAAAGCACTCTTAAGTATTAAAAGGAAACACCCCAAAGTTGAAGCAAACTGACTTAAATGAAAGTCAGAGCAAACTATATTGCATGTTTTGCTATGTAGTAAGAAAATACAAGTAAGAGAAACATGGAGAATTACCTCCTTTGGTAGTGCCATTCTGGGCCTGGATGCCATGATGCAATGAAGTGTGGATGGCAGAAAGAAGGTCTGCTGCTTGGACCATTAGTTTCTGAGCCTCTGCAACAGCACTGGTCTAGCAAACAAATCACCAAAAACACACTTTAACACATAGGAGAGGTCCTACAACAGCGCTGAGATCCGTGCACACTACAGTACACGGATCCTCACAAATTATTCACTTAATGCATGATGCCCAAATTCTGACAGGATACAAAGCATCTTCCCCTCAAATCTGTATCTTATGACATGATAAAAATGAAACGGTAAATATGTCTGGCTTATGATCAGAGATACAGTCAACTGTAACAAGGGGAAAAAAAATCCCAACATTATACAGTCATTTACAAATATGGGGTGGAGGGAATCCAGGAAAAAAAAGAGTGACCTGAATCCATATTTATCTATCAGTAAGACATTTCAGTGTGTGACAGACAGAACTGTAAAGCAGCAATAACTTCTACCTAGAGAAAATGACGACTGTGGTGTAAGCACAGCAAGGGCAGAGAACTGTGAGAGCAGGGAGGACACTGCCTAACTGACCAATCACGGCATTCTCTTACCTCTTTCTTAGTAAAGGCTATGAGCACTGTCAGCAGCACACGTGTGAACTTCACTCTGCTGAATGCTGCCAAGCACTGCTGGTGCTGCAAAGACAGAAGTGTGGTGAGGAGCAAGGCCTGCAAAGGCCCAGCTGCAGAGGCTGATTTTAGCACTGCAAGTCCTAACCTGTCAGTAACGCATTACAGTAAAAGGGCCTCTCCTTGGCTTTTTAAATGCCCCCAAACAAGCCACCAAAAACTAGTAAACAAAGCCTCCTCCTCTCAAACAAGCAAGAAACCACACTGTACACATCAGCAACAGGACTGACTTTAATCCAAAGTCAGAACGAGGCCATTATCTCAAAAACATGAACTTAGCAGTTATAAAAGGGTTGAAAGTTTCAGCAACTTTTGATATGGAAATTTTTGATTTTGCTAAGTTTTGAAACATCTAAAAGTAATCTTTTATTCTAGTTCCTACTTCCCAGAAATTCTGAAGTTTTGAAACAACATATTCAAAAATGGTTGTATTACCATTCTATAGATAAAAACACAAGAGGAATTAAGTCCCCTGCAGTGTCCAGTTAAAGAAATACTGTAAGGAGACTTCCATCAATGGCAATGCAGTTCAGAGAACTACAGCATTAAAGATGGGCTTTTCTGACATTCTCTAGAGAAAATAAAGGCACTTACTTCTAGTTCAACTTCTGGATCTCTCTCTTCTCCTTGTCGACTTCGAGTACTCTAAAATTAAAAAATTAAATAAATTAAGACAAATACAACCCTAGAGAAGTCAAGAAAAAGTTAATCTACTGAGAATACACAAAAATCTATGTTCACAAAAAATATCTGAAAGATAGAAAAAAGGTTGTGTCCAGTACTTCCCTTTTTCCTATGGATGTTTTATGCAGGTATTTGTATACAGATTAGAAAGATTGTGAAAAGAAGCAGGTATTAAAACAATACATATAGCAGAAGCAAAGTACATGGCGGAGTGACTGATCTCTGAGTTCAAGGGCAGCCTGGTCTACAGAGTAAGATTTGAAACCCTGTCTCAAAAACAAAACAAAAAACACAACCACACACACACACACTTCTGAAGATTTCAAAACCAATTCACAACAAAAATCACTATCACCATTAAAAATCCTATCATTTTAAAAAAGAGCCTGGCTGATCCTGATGGTGCATACCTTTAACCCTAGCACCAAGGAGGCAAAGGCAAGCAGGGTGAAGTGAGTTCAAACCCAGCCTGGTCTACATACTGACTTCCAGGCGAGGCTACAGAGTTAAACTTTGCCTCAAAAAACAAAACAAGTCCTAAACAAAGCAAGGAAAACACACCTTCACTCTCCTTTGCATATCATCTTCCACGTCTTTCAGCATTCCTAGAATGAGAAATAGTAAGTTTTAAAACAAATCAGCATGCAAAACATACAAATTATTGCTGTGAATTATCTCTGTAAATGGTTTATACCTGTAACTCGAAGATCTGTCACACTGTTGGCCATTTTAAATCCGTATGTCATTGACTGGAAATCTTCCTATATAAAAAAGAATTAATTAAGCTCTTGGATAGCAGCAACCGTATTTTTCTAACAAAATGACCAGTTACTTATAAAGAAATAGCATGCTATTCAGCATGTCTCAATATTGCCATTATACAGCTAGCCTTCCTTGCAGGCGTACAACTAGACACCTTGACATTACTATTGTTATCTGTCCTGGGCTTTATCTGCTTATTAGTGGTCTAGAGGTTAAGCATTCTCAAGTAGCATTGCTCAAAGAAAACAGCAAATGTACATTTTATAGGCCATGGTTTAAAAATATAAAAACAACAAATAAAAAACAAGTCAGGCAGTGGTGGCACACACCTTTAATCCCAGAACCTGGGAGGAAGACAGGAGAATGTGAGTTAGAGGCTAGCCTGGCCTATAGACGCAGTTCCAAGATAGCCAAGGCTACAAAGAGAAACCCTGTCTCAAAAAGACAAAACAAAAAACCAAAAATCAAACCAAAGCATGGTTCTCCAGCCACTCCCATCCCCCGCAAATTTCACTGCTAAGACAGGGGATTCACTGGGTTTACTCTGAAGAATGAATTTAACATTATCTTGTATGGTGTTTCCCCCGTGTTATAAATTTCTACAAATACATACAATTCTGGGATGCTTAGTAAAAACAATGAGCAAGGATTCTGGTTTACTGATACAAATTTAAAGTTACTTTTGTTATATTGTATATATGATTTTACTCGTTTGGGGTATTGTGCTTATGCAGCTCATTTAAAAATGTAACCTAAAATTACGAAATACAGGATAATAATTAGTCATCTACAATAATCAAACGTGTAGCCGTATTAGGCATGTTTTCAAAGTTAAACAGATGTATTTAGATAGATAAATGGTCTTCAAACACTTCAGAGACCCACAGAATATGGCTTTAAGATATTTAATAACTTGAGGCTTTTCATGACGGTGAGAAATGTCTCCTTCTGGCAGCACCAATTTACTTCAAAAGATGATGATAGGCATCAAAGACCTCCATATGAAGTTTTCTTACTTTGTAACAGCAGCTAACCATTTGGGCAAGAAACTGCCCTTGCTCTGACTGCTGAGAGTATACTGTCCAAAATGGACCAGCAGGACGCATAAGTAAGCAACTCTCAAACTTTGCCTAGACAAGGTTTTTCAAAATTCCCTGCTTCTGGATGGAGGTTGGTGGTCCTCGGACTTCCCACAGGACAGCGAACCCTGAGTGCTCTTTGGGCTGACGAGGGAGGGGGACTTACTGGGGGACGGGGAGGGAAATGGGAGGCGGCGGTGGGGAAGAGACAGAAATCTTTAATAAATAAATAAATAAATAAAATTCCCTGCTTCTGAGAAATATCTGTCAGATATACTAGGCCTAAAGGCCAAAAATGGATGCCCCAATGTTGCAAAGGACTCCAAGTCACTATCCAAGGAGCCAGATGCCCCGTCAATGTGTAAATATTACATCCTTCTGGGATCTTTCAAAGACAAAACAGTTAGACTTCATAGTTTTTCTTAGTTTTGGAAAAAAAAATACTAGGTATAAAACTTTAAATTCACAAAGATAATAGAATATTTTATCCAAATCTGCGAAATACAAACAGACTAGATATTCTAACTGTAATTCTTACTTGATAACTGTCTTTGTTGCATATAATTTTACTGTGTTAAAGTTAAAATTTTCCTTTTAAATTGGACAAAAAAGGGAGAAATGCTGTAGAACAATCCTTTTGTACACTGTGAAGATGTGTTGCTCTCACTGTTTTAATAAAGAGCCAACTGGCCAATAGCTAGGCAGGGAGAGGTTAGGTAGGGAAGAAGGGTGGAGTCACCAGCCAGCCAGAGAGAGAGAGTAGGATTTGTAGAAAATGAGGTAACAAGACATGAGCCATACAGAAGCATGTAAATTAAAAAATATGGGTTAATTTAAGTTGTAAGAGTCAGGTAATAGTAAGCCTAAGCTACTGGCCGAGCATTTAAAATTAATAAGTCTCTTGTCTTGCTTATTGGAGAGCTGGCAGTCCTGATGAAAAAATCCTGCCTACATTTTTATAAGGCCAGCAGGCAGTGACTCTCTTGTCTGAATGTCTTGACATTGGGAACACTGCTCTGTTCACAGGACACTTGGTAAGCAGGACTACTAGCACGGGAGGCGGAAAGCTCTACTACATAGCTGACACAGGATCAGTATTCACAAGAGTGGCTTTGAGATCCCCTTGCCTTAGCTTCCCTGATAGTTGGAACATGTAGGTTTGTGCCACCACAGGCAGCAATGTTCACCCCACAGGATCTTACTGTATAGACCAGGCTAGCCTTGAATTCATTACTCTTCTCTGCCTCTGTGTTCTGTGTGTCTGGATTGCAGACATGTGCCACACATGGCAACAGCAATGCTTTTTAATAAATACTCCTTAGTTACAGATGTGGACATAGACACGAGTCACAGAATCACAAGGTAAGACAGCCAATGAGCTTCTGGATTTCTTTACCTCTTCAAAAACAGCAGCTTTATTTACTTTTTCCCTTGCAATGTCACAGATCTTCAAGATCCCCAGAGCAAAGGCTTTCATGGCAGGATCTTCTATGAAGTCTGGATTATGAATGTAAAGGCACGTAAACACTGTCTGTGCCAGGGAATGGCCTTCTAACCACGTGATCTGTTGAGGAGAAAGGATGAATGAATAAATCATTTCAAGTGCTACACAGGGTTTGCAAAGTCTAAATTGAGCCAGAGTCCTAGACACATATCCCTACAATTAATTAATTATAAGATTGAAAAGATAATCAATTAAAGAGAATGTCACAGAAGACAGGACTGAGAACAAGCTTGCACTGGCTAGGTTTCACGAAGCCTACATAAACTGGGTCTCTAATGCTCTGGAACATGAAACTGTTTTGCGCATGAAGCTAGTGCTCTAAGGGGTCTGTATTTTCGATTTTCAAACCACAGTACTCCCTCTGCACTGTAAGTGCCTAGCCATCTTAAGCATTCTTAAGCCTAATATTCCAATCTGTGACACCTTAGTGTCTAATCAAAGTAGAGAAACTATATAGCATTGAAAAGCAAACAATTCTACAATGCAATCAATAGAAATGCATGGGTTAGGGAATTCAGTCTTAGAACTGACCAGGTTTTAAGCTTCTCCATCCATCACTAACTCAACAACAGAACTGTCTCCTTTAGATTATAAAATAAAACATCCTTGCCTCCCATATAGAGCTTGCTACTCCAACGAGAAGGATCTTTCCACAATAAAGATAAACATCCAACACTATTTCTCCATAATCTACAGGCTGGACCACCAACAATAGTCAGTACTAACTGCCATCTCCCCCAAATTATGCTAGATATTTTCATATATTTCATCTCATGTTTCTCTAGTCCTTTCAGAAAAGAGGTTATTTTCCCCCTTCAACATGTAAGTAAACAAAGTCAACACATGTAAGTAAGTTTCCCCAGGTTTATCCTAAAACCCAAGAACTATGTGACTGAAAACATGTTACTAGAAGACACAGTAAGAAATGGATGGGAAATGTTCTGATTAGGGTGTGAACTTAGAATGATTGTGCAGAAGAATTTCCAGATGAAAACCCATGCCTCATTAAAGCCCAAAGAGTCTCATACAGGTGCCGCTCAACTCTGACAACAATTCTCCCTCTGCTTACTGTTCCATCCTGCTGGAGTTAGCCACAGCCTTCACTCTCGACTCCCTGCCAACTCTGTTCTGCCTGTGAACATTCTGGTCAACCCCGTACCAGTATGACTTCTTTGTCTACTCCTTCTTAGTCCCTACTGGGCTCTCAGACTTCCTCCATCCTACACCACCACCCTGAAACTACTGACTGTTACCAGTGTGTCTTTGCACTTCTACTCCCAGCAATCCTCCCTGGGCTTCCATATTCCTTTAGGAATAGTACTGCTACAAGGTAATAAATCTTCTAGAGACAGACAGAATTCTGGCTGTACCCCTTCAGCAATGCAGCCTCAGGCATCATAATAAAATGTTGAAATAAAACAGTACATGTCAACAACTCATGTGTATGTGCTTCTGATACATCCCATTATCAACACTGCCTAACAGACAAATCAACAGATGCTACAAAAACACGGGACCTAACTACAATTGGATCACCCTGCCAGAAGACATGCACCCAGCACAGACAAATCCCTAGAGTATGTCTGTGGCATAGGACAGCAGCAAAGCAGATCCCCAAAGACAGTCCACACCTTCTCTGCTTCAACTGGACTCATCTCATGGGACCTCAATTACACATTTCCCCTGGTAACTTGAAAAGAGAGCATTGTGGATAATGGCTGTAATTTTATCTTCACCGAAACAAAGCACCCACTTAACAGCACCCATGACCAGAGCAGTGCCAGCTGTTAGATGAAACATGACTTCCATGGCCTAACTTAGTCTGTGAATCTTGTGTTGACTCTCTGAGGTCTGACTGTGGATAATTTCATATTCAACATGGTGCACATACTTTACATTCAAAGATTCAGGTAAGCCACAGTTTAATTAACCAACAATCTTGTTTTAATTCTTACCAAACAGCAAAAACAGGTATCCATTATTCCTATCAATTCAGGCAAGGTGAGATCTTTAATTTTAATGGTGCCATCCTAAAAAGGAGGGAGCATATAAACAGAAAGTTAAGAAAATTATTATGTACACTTGTATTTTATATTTTAAAACTAGGTATTTATTAAAAAATAATCCAAAGAAAACACTAATATCTGATAAAACCAAGACACCAACTTCATTTTTTTGTTCTTAGGAACAAAACTTTGTTTCTTGTTCTGTCTATGATGCTCAGGGAAGACCTGGGACTCCTGATCCTCCGGCCTCAACCTCTCAAGAGCTGAACTGACTGACCACGCCCAGTGAGACAAAGTTTGCACTTTGTCAAACTTTAACACATCACTGAAGAAACCACGTATCTTAAAGTCTTTATTAATTTATCTTAAATCTTGAATAAGAAAAATCAAAGTATAATTTGAAACAATAAAGGTCCTTATAATAAAAAGTCCAGTCTTTCTACACACAGTGTCTCAGGTCTATAAGCCTAGCACTTGTGAAGTCAGGAGGAACAGGAGCTCAATGTCAGTGAAACTACATGAGACTGTGCCTCCAGGAAGGAAGGAAAGGCAGAAGGAGGAAGAGAGGCCTAATCATTAAGTATTTCTAAAGCACAGTCAAAATGACACAGCCCAGGTTGGGATGACAGGCATACGCTACCTACTGGCTCAAAATTAATTCTGTTTATTTATCTCATTTACCTCTCTCTCTCTCTCTCTCTCTCTCTCTCTCTCTCTCTCTCTCTCTCTCTCTCTCTCTCTCTCATATTGCCTCATTCTGTAACTTGGACCTCACAGCAACTTTACCCCAGCATCTCAGTATTACAACATGAAATGTATCTGAGTCAAATATCCTGAATACTCAAATGCCTTCAAAATTAATTCAAAGAATACACAAGTGGACAATCTAGAGCAAGTTCATGAGAACCGCAGGTCATTAACTTCTAGATTTTAACTGAGACTGGTAACTAATATATATTTATATTTAGACAAAGTTTAACAAAGCCCAGACGGATCTTGAAGTCACTATATAGCTGAGGACAATCTTAAATGCCCAATCCTCCTGCCTCTACCTCCCCAAGTGCTGAAAGTACCATCATGCCTGCTTTACAGCAGTGCTCATCTGGTGTCTGAGAGGCTTCAAAGAATATAGTTGAACAGTTTGTATGAATTCAGTATTAAGCATGCTTTTTATTTTGGTTTGATTTTTCAAGACAGGATTGTCTGAGTAGCTCTGGCTGTCCTGGAACTTACTCTGTAGACCAGGCTGGCCTCAAATTCACAAGACCCACCTGCCTCTGCCTTAAGTGGTGGGATTAAAGGCATGCACCACCACTGCCTGGACGAGCACATTTTAACATAAAAAAAGGTATGTTTTAAAAGCCAGAGACATACAAAAATACAGTAACTACCTTGATAGCTTGTTCAAAATTGAGAACCTTCCGATTTACTTGGTTTCCAATCATACCAGCATCCATCTTGGGATCCATCATTTCAATAGCAGACATGGCTTCAAAAAGGCCAAATCTACAAATAAATGAGCCCACAAGCTGTTTTTAAACTCAGATTTCCAAAATGGTACAAAAATTACCATGGTATTTTGAAAACTACAGTATTCCATGTATTTCTTTGTATTGCTGTTTAATTTGCTAAAACTTCCATTTCAATTAATCATCATTTAGCACAAAAATTCATGTATTCACCATACAATTATCTTACATGTTCTATGGAGGAAAGAACAGAAGCATCTTTACATTTCCCTCAACAGGATACGAACCAGCAGCTTTCGGAAGAAAGAGATCTACTCCTGTCAGATGGCTTAACTTAAATAACTTCCTTTCATTTCAAAATAATGTTATCATGTGAAATTTTTTTCATTTTCCATGTTATCTTTTTTGTATGTGTGGGTGTCTGTAAGTTGGAGGACAGGCTCAGGGGTCATCCTTTAGACACATCTCTCCTTGGCCTGGAGCTCACCAATTAAGCTGGCTGAGTGGCCAGCAATCCCCTGGTGATTCCATTGTCTCTGCCTTATCATCTGTAGGATTACAAATTCATGCAGGGATTTTACAGGGTTCTACAGATTAAACAAAGGTCTTCATGTTTACAAGGCAAACACTTTATCAACTGAGCCATCTCCCCAATTGTAGCTCCAGTTTCTTCATACCTAATCAATTTTCAAAGTTAAAAATTTTGGTGTTTATGTAATGCAAAACAATCCAGAAATTCTGATTGGTAATCATGGAAAATAGTAACTATATATTGAAAACTGATTACAAAGATTTGAGGCATGCCTCAAAAGATGAGGAAAAGATGAGGCTTAACTAAAACCCTGACTTGACCAAACTACTGACAACACCCCATTGCTGCTGGAGCTCGTTCTGCTCCTTCAGCCAACAGCCTTTACGGTACCAGACCTCTTGGGTGTGCTCTCTTTTGCTTTAAAAAGCAGCGGATGCCCTGCTCTCACTCTCTTGCTTCTGGGTCTGCTTCTGGCTGCTAGACTCTGTTCTGTTCGCTCAGAGGGCTGTTGTCTAGGACAGTGATCTGTAAGTTTTCCCTTAAATAAATAACCCTTTAATTAATCATAATTCCAAGCTGGTGTGGGATTGTTCTGTAACTTTGCCTTCACCTGGCACCTTGTGGGCCCATCTGAGAAAATGCTACTATCAATAAGTCACGCTTAACTCTGTTCTTTTCTATCTAAGTAACTTCCCAAGCTCTCAGACTTTCTGTGGATGCAGTTGTCCACGTGGGCGTCATTTGTTGTCAGCATTCTCTGTCCTGCCCAGTTTCCACAGTCGTTAAGTCCCAAAGAAATCACACAGAGGTCTACATTAACTATAAACTGACTGGTCCATTAGCTCAGGCTTCTTATTAATTCTTGTAACTTAAATTAGCCCATTATTCTTATCTATGTTAGCCACATGGCTCAGTACCTTTTTCAGCAAGGCAGTCACATCTTGCTTCTTCTGTGGATGGGCTAGGACTGTGGAGGAATGGGCTTTCCTCTTCCCAGAATTCTCCTGTTCTCTTTGACCCACCTCTACTTCCTGTCTAGTTGTCCCACCTAAACTTCCTGCCTGGCTTCTAACCAATCAGCATTTATTTAAAATATAATTGACAGAATACAGACCATGGTCCCACACCACTTCCCCCTCTTTTTTTAAACAAACAAACAAACAAACAAAAAAAAACCCAAGAAGATCCATAGTCCATTAAAAAAAAAAAAAACTAAAAGTGGCTGGGACCAACAAGCAGTCTCTCCTTGCAACACCCCATCACTCTAAATGATTTCTCTTAAATAAAATCAATAGAGGGTTTGTTTCTGCAGCACACATATACTAAACCCAACAGAAAGACATAAAAAAGAGTTTTTAAGGACTAGTGATGTAACTCAGAGGCAAAAGCTTGTGTTCAATTCCCAGTTCTAAAAGAACAAAATAAACTCCATGGGGACAAACGTCCTGCCATGACCTTAATGTGATGTTCAGGTTAAGACGCTCTGGCAATTGTTCATAGTACAGCAAAGACAACACTCTCACACACACTAGATGAACGCTGACCAAAGCACAAAAGGACTGACCAGAATAGTACCTTTTCAGAGAGTACTGGAAGTTAAAAAGGAAAGCACTCAAGAAAGCAAGAGAATTTTGTCAACAAAAACAATACAGCACAATTTGGCTTCATCAACTACCAAAGACTGCTATAAACTAAGAATAAATAAAAATATCTAGAACACATTCTAGATATCTAGAACAGATTCTATGGAAATTACCAAAAAGAAGGAATTTCACACTACTGAAAACACCAGTCAACACTGTTGAGAAAAATCACTCATCACATGGAAAAATGCAAATGTACGTTTATACAATTTAAGAAAAATAAATCAGATGTAAGTTCTAAACCTCTTCTCTGATAATCTACAAGCTATAAAGGAAAAGCGACTGCAGAAATATCCTAAATTCTTGTGGTGGTTTTAATGTAATTGGCCACCATAATCTCATAGGGAGTGGCACTATTAGGACGTGTGGCTTAGCTGGAGTGGATACAGCCTTGTTGGAGGAAGGGTTTCACTGTGGAACCGGACTTTAAGATTTCCTATGCTCAGGATACTGCCCAATGTCTCAGTCGACTTCCTGCTGCCTGTAAGGCAAGATGCAGCCAGCGCCATGTCAGCCCACCACCATGCTCCCTCCCACCATGATAATGGACTGAACCTCTGAAACTGTAAGCCAGCCCCAATTAAATTTCCTTCAAGGAGTTGCCAAGGTCATGATGTCTTTGCACAGCAAGAAAATGCCTAACTAAGACAGCTCTCAGTGTGGATTAGCAAGGTATCTCACCCGAGAGAAGCTGCTGCAAATTCAAACTCTGTTCTCAAGCTGACTTAGGACATATGCAACTTAGACCCAGCAGGTATTTGTGAAGCTTTCTACATGAGTCTTTGCATGCTAAGGTTTTAAGAGCAAAATAAGTCTCTTCCTGTTCCTCCAGCAAAAACTATCTAATTTTATCTACTTGCTAATTCAAGATTTTATAGTCCTCGCCCCTAAGCAACCTGGCCACAGCATGTTTCTAGCACAGTGGGGAATAAACAGAAAAAATAAATAAGCCAGTACTTCCTTTTCTTTGTTTCACATGGAGATCTTTGATTTTCTTCTGCACCAGCATTTAGTCATCAATAAATCTATCACACTAGACATATACCTGATAGTTTTCTTCAAGAAATACCATGTTGAGTATATTCAACTTCATAAAAAGGATCCCACAGTCCCATGTTTCCTGTCTTAACCAGGTCAGCCACTTAAGATAGCTCACCCAAGTGGAAATTGTATTCATAACTCATTTTAACAACTTTGAAGCATAACTTTACTTGGACTTCAAGAACTAGTCTATGTGAAAAAAAAGATTAAAGTATTACACTCTTTCAAAGGACACGACACTCACAGCTTATCATGAAGCAGTTCTCCCAACTTCAGCTCTGAAAGAAACAAAGTGAAAAATTACTGAGTAATACCACAATCAGGTTCAAGTTTCAAGACTAGGAGCAAACCAGCTTGATTACTAAGATGCATTCTCTAAGGACCACTCAGTTATAATGGGGCTTTCAAGAACATTATAAAGTAGATGAAGAGAAGAAAAAAAAGACTGAAAATTAACAAGCCAACAACCCTCTTAATATTCCAGTAAGAATTATAAATTTAAAAGTCATTTTTAAATTACTAATATAGTTTACCATGTTCTAAACTTTGTCACAGGAACAACTGCTGCCTTTCTGGTTATTTTAAGACCATGTCATCATCTAGTCTTTGTTGTGAGAGGAACAATGTTAAAATCACATTTAAAGATTCAAATTTACTTAAATGTACAAAACACTTTGAGTAAACTGCTAATCCACACAGTATTCATGAGATGAAGATGAAGGTGAGTGGTAGAGCGGTCACCCAGCGTGTTCCACACCTAGCATTGCATCCCAGCACAGAGGAAGGGAACGAGAAGGCAGCAGAGATGTGTGTGTGTGTGTGTGTGTGAAACGACAGTTTTCAAACTTGAGTTTTAAAATGAACCAGAGATTGTCCTAAACCCAACCTTCCTATATCGCTCGAAACCAGTCAAACCCCACGGAGGAACTCCAACAGTGCTTCTAAAGCAGCCTAAGTGATGTCAAAGACAAATACCACATGTATTGTCTCACACGGGGATCCCAGATTCCAATTTTAATGTGTGTTTCTGAGGAAGTGCGTGGAGGTCATGAACTAGAAAAGGAGCCACAAAAGGGCAGAAGCAGGCATTAAAGAAAGGAGGTATGTGTGTGTGTGTGTGGGGGGGGCAACAGAACAGAAGAGACAAGAAAGGAGGAGAGATAGGTAGTGAGGTTAACTAAGCATGTATGAAAGTGTGATGAGGTAACTTGCTATTCTGAATGCTAAATGTTAAATTAGTGCATTAAACATTTAAAAACACATCAAAGAGACTACTTTCTCAGTCAAAAAACCCTCCGCACTGCCCAGAAAAAAAATCTCACACCAACAAAAGAAAAGAACGGCACTCGACAGTTTCACCTAAAAGTTGTTCTCTAACCAAGCAGAATTATTGGGTATCCCAAAACAAATTCTCAATGAACTCAGGCTCAAATGGTTTACCTCAATCTAGGGTAATTTCCTCATCTTCACTGTCAGAAATGTGGCCTTTCCTTTAAGATACAACTTCCCTACTTAGATTCATGAAAACAGACCTCTAATACAAATTATTTTAAAAGACAAAACAAAACCAGCACCCAATGACACACGTGAGCCATGTGATCACCCAGACCTCTGAGCATAGACTACCACATACACACAGGTCTCCTTCTGGTAGACATACAGCAGCACACACGTAGGTCCCTCCACGGCCTGAGACACACTTCAACTGGACATGCAGTTCAAACCATAATGGGATGGCTATGCTCAGCTGGCCTCCTTTATAGCTAGTGCCGCGCCAGTATTCACGCCTCTCCTTCAAAGCAGCATTCAAAGACACCTTATTATCACCACAGACCTGGCCCTAGAAAGCAGAGGGATCAGGAATGAACTCCTTAACATCTGAGCTCACCACTTCACCTTTATCTTCACCTTAACCAGATTTTCGTTTGTCTTTTTCTTACCTCAGCACCAGTATATCCTACATCCTCCCTCACTACCAAGATCTTGAACCCATCCTTCTCTTGAAATTCAAGCTTTCCCTGGTGCTTGTTCCTTCCTCTTTCTTCAGTCTCTCCCTTCAACAACAGATACGCTCATATTTACAATCACTTCTAGACACTGCTGGGAGGGGTGCTTATTTGTTATAGAAGGAAGTTATGTTTCTCCAAGGGAACCTCTGGGTTTCAAGTGATCCTCCTGACCAGAACATCAGAGTAGCTTGGACTACAAGTGTGTCCACTAAACCCAGTTATTCACTAACACAGGTGCTACTACATGCCATACACAGCTCCGTAGTCTAGAGTTATACATGATCTCTGCCCTTGTCAAAATTCCTCATGGTAGATAAGGCTGACAATAAGCAACAAATAACTACAATTATGGTTCTGACAGATTAAACACTGAAGAAAGTAAAACATGGTGATTCAGCTGAGATACACTTAGCTGAATGGCTTACAGCTGTCCTTCTGAGCTCTTCACAGGCAAGGTAACAAACAGCACAGAAGTGGCTCAGTATGTGAGCGTCTGATGAAAGTTAAGATGGAGTAAACAAGACTCACCAAGCTCTGGCAAGGCAGCCTGGCGCTCAGCAACAAGAGGGTGACGGGAAAGGATAGCGCAAAGGCAGAAAATGGAACCTGGGCACGAAGCAGGGGAACCCTGGAAAAGGAGTCTGAACTTTACTCCAACAGGAAGCCAGCTGAGGATCGTAAGAGAGTGACAGGATGGGATCATTTCTACACCTCCAACAAGCAACAATTCTTTAGCTCCTACAGCCAGACATTATGGTCATGTCGGTATCTTTCTTCTCTTCTCTCTGGTTAGACAGGGTCTCACTCTCACTGGGTGGCCCTGGCTGGTCTGGAACTTACTGTACAGACCAGGCTGGCCTTGCACTGCCTCTGGATTGCTGGGACTGAGTGAGCATTTCCACACCTGCCCATTATCTAACCTGTTAAAGTCAGAAGGATTTAGAGGGGGAAAGTGCCTGGGAGCTGGAAAGATGGCTCAGCAGTTAAGAGCATTTGCTGCACAATCACGAGGACCAGAGAGTCTGGAATTCCAGCATAAGCAAGGATTCCAGAAAAGACTTGTAACCGCATCTCCAGGGGATCCAATACCTTATCCTGGCATCCATGTGCACACAGGTGTTTGCACTCTCACACATATGTACATACAAATACATAAACCAAGATCTTTTTAAAACATGCCTCGACATCTGTATCTAATGTTTTACCAAATACACACAGGCTTTAAACCAAACTTAAAATCAGAGAGCAAAGAGCTCAACAAAATTGAGCCTAAGATGTGTACAGGACGAGCAGGAATTCATCAAGGTCATCCTCCACAGCGGAGACTTCCTTGTCAGCCTGGGCTACAGGACTTTCTCAAAAATAAACAAAACGACCACAAATTTGGCAAAAATCACAGGGTTGTTTCGCTTTTTTTTTTTTCAAAAAAAAAAAAGGTAAAGTTGAGAAAACACAAATATGATTTTACTTTATCCTGTCTGACTTTAAACCAATAGTCAAAAAATTCAAACTTACCTCGACAAGCATCTTCAAAATCCTGGGTTATGTCCACCCAACTGGTGCTACATTTTTCCATCTTTTCAGGGACACTTAGCTCCCACCCTGAATCATCCTCATCCACAGCCGCTTTCATAACCATTATGCCTGTAAAATGAACACTGGTGTTAGTCGGAGGGCAGCGTTTGGGCAGGAACAGTGTCCTCAGCACTACCTAAGTACCGGGTAAAGACTTCCTAAACTCCGTAGGCAGAACGCCTTCGATCCATTGGCTGGAAAGCAACAATCCTCTGTGCAATCAGACCTCACGTTAAATCTGCAGCTCCTCACGCGCCGACATGCCCACCTGCCAGGACTCAGCTTCTTCTAACTAGTTCGGAGATCTTCCACCCTCCCAGCCCAAGAAACAACTCCGGGGACCGCCGGCTTTCCACACCGGCCTCCGGAAACCAGAACCGCCCTCTCGGCTCGACAGCAGCCGAGCAGCGCTCACCGCGCGGGCTTCGCTAGACCCGGGCCTCACCTAGCCCTTGCAGGCGCGTCCCCTCAGACCCCGGCCCGTGGAGGAGAAACGCGGGCGGCCGAGGCGGGGACGCGCGTCCTCGCGGCGCCTCGCGGGGAAGAAGCGGCTCCGCGCGGCCCTCGTCACCCGGGCGACACGGGCACAGCCCGGCCTCCCTGGCGGCGCGCGCCCCCGGCTCCGGCCGGAGGTGCGGCGAGGAACCGGCCAGCGCCGGCTCCGGGGTCGGGCCCACGAGGGTGGCGGGGTCGTGCCAGCCCCACGCACGCCACCCCAGGTGCTTTTCCCACCACCGCCCGCGCCACCACGCACCGTCCGCGCCACGAAGCTAACGACACCGCCGCCACAGCCGCCGCCCCCTCCCCTCTCAGCCCCGCCCCGCCCCGCCGGCCGCCTGCGCGCATGCGTACGCCCCGGGCGCGCGATCCCGCCCCCATACTCTTGGGACTCCGCGCTCCGGACACGCCCCCTCCCTCACCTAGGCCACCGTACCCGGATAGACGGGCGTCCTCCCTTCTCGCGGGATGAGAGCCCATCCGCGAGACCGGAAGCCCCTTCCAAATTCCTCCCCTCCGGTAGAGCCCTGGTAGGGGAAAAGACCCGGGAGGGGCGGAGCCTGAGGACTGGCAGCCGGCCTCATCCAGTCCTGGAAGACTCTGAGAGGTGACTCTAAGGGGAAGGGGAGGAGCTTGGCGGAGCTTCCGGTAATGCAAACTGATTGGATAAACGTCTTTTTGTAGTGCGGAAGGACTTCATAAGAGAAGGAAAAACAAAACGTCTATGTCGAGCTGCGATTTTCTTCCCACTCAGATGTTTTAAGTTTTTCTTATAAAGTCAGACCTCAATCAAGTAGATTTTGTGTGGGTGTAGCTGGGAAAAAACCCAGGTCCTGAGTTAATTTTAAAGAAATAACAAAAGGAAAGACATGACTTCTAGTATGATGGAGGAGGTTTACTGTAGATTTGAGGAAGAGCATAGCCAGAGGCAGAGACACAGCAAGAGTCCAGAGTTAACATGACCCTGAGCTGAGCCTTGTGAGGAGCGTGGGGAGGAAGTAAAAAAAGGACCGGGTAACCAAAATGGCTGGATTATATAGGTAAGGGCAGCCCAGGGTATGCCCGCCATACCTTGTAATAGGTAAAGACTGAGGGACGCTAGGAGAACCTGGCAGCCAGGTCTGCTTAAATAGGCACCTCAGCCATTTGTTGTGGGGTTGAGACCTGAGTAAGAGAGCACTCAAGCAGTCTGTCATTGAGCTACATCTTCAGGCTTCGTGTTGATTGTTTTAAGTTTTTGTTTTCAAGACACGGTTTCTTTGTCTAACTTGGGCTGTCCTGGAACTAGCTCTGTAGACCAGGCTGGCCTCGAACTCACAGAGACCCACCTGCCTCTGCCTCCTGAGTGCTAGGATTAAATGTGTATGCCTCGCACCCAGCATATTATTTGAATTTAAAAAATTATTTCTCGCATAGAGTGTGTTTCCCGAGGACAGGAACTTTCTTTTTATTAAAACTGTCCTAGCACCGGAGGCATGTAGTTAGTTCTCCCAAAGTACGTGGAAGATGAGAATGTAGGAAATAAATTACAGAAACTGATTAATAGTCATTTAAGACCCCCCCCCCCAAATTCTAGAAAAATGTGAAGAGTGTGCCTCTGAATTGTTCAGTAATGTATGTAAGGGTGTAACTAAAACTAATTTTATAAAGACTCATTGGAGGGCTGGAAAGATGGGTCCTCAGTTAAGAGTGCTTCTTGTTCTCCCAAGGAACTTGAGTTCAGTTGCCAGCACCCACTTCAGTCCACACAAGTACCTGTGAATCCAGCTCCAGAAGAGCCCAGCATACAGATGTGTTCTTTCACTGGGAACTAACTGAGGGCCAAGTATTCACTGAGCTAAATCCCTAGCTCCCTGCTGTGTAGTTTGTCATCTTTAGATCATTAAGTAAATACAATGTAAATGTTTTGTGAACTTTGTTGTGTTGTTTAGGAATGACCACCCCAATATTCTGTGCATGTTAAGAATATTTTCCTGGCTGGGCAGTGGTGCCCATGTCTTTAATTCCAACATTCAGGAGACAGAGAGAGGCAGATCTCTGGGAGTTCAAGGCCAACTATAGAGCAAGTTCAAGGATAGCCAGAGCTACACAGAGAAATCCTATCTTAAAAAAAAAATTCTTAGCTGGGTCTATGGCTATGGAGTCCCTGTATATGCTGTACTGACTGTTTTTGTCTCTTTTGTAGTGATATTTCACTTGTATTTTAATAAAGCTTGCCTGAAAATCAGAGAGTAAAATAGCCCCATTGATCATCAGCCTTATAGATCAGGCAGTGGTGGCATACACCTTTAATCCCAGCAGCCACACTAATTTGCCATAGAAACCGGGCAGTGGTGGTATATGCCTTTAATTCCAGTCCTAGAGAGGAATATAAGACAGGAGGAGACAGCTGTCAGTCAGTCTCATTCTGAGGATTCCTGGAGGCTTTATCGCCATTTCAGACTAAAGTAGAGGTAAGATCTAGTAGCCCTGTTTTGCTTTTCTTTTTCTTTTTCTCTCTTTTTTTTCTTTTTTAAAGCTGGCTAGAAACAAGCCAAGCTAAAGATGGGCATTTATTTTTTATTTTTTAAAGATTTATTTATTATTGTATTATGTATACAGTTTTCAGTCTACATTTATCCCTTTATGTCAGAAGAGGACACCATATCTTATTATAGATGGTTATGAACCACTATGTGGTTGCTGGGAATTGAACTCAGGACCTCTGGAAGAGCAGCTAGTGCTCTTAACCTCTGAGCCATCTCTCCAGCCCTGTTTTGCTTTTCTAACCTTCAGGTTGAACCCCAATATCTGTCTTTGGGTTTTTATTAATCATGCTTTATTCTTTCATAGTAAAGATTTCTCTAGTCCTGACCACTGGCTTCCAGTTGGTAGACCAAAGTGCTGTCCTTCTCACAGGGACTTGTCAAATGCTGACATCACTGGATTTATCTGGGCCATCTATCATGAGCTTGTTCAGTTTCAGAGAGGGAGTACTTATAATCCAGGGCCTTCATGTGTGACTGTGCAAACTAGCTATTGCACAGCTATAGTGTGTGCTTTAAAAGCTCCCCAGAGCATCACACCCAGCCCTGCTCTCAAAATCTACCAGCCACTAGCCATCAGGAGTGGAGGAAGAAAGCCAGGACATGAGAAAGGACTAATTTCAAGATCCATTATGACATTCAGCTCTTTATTGAACCAATCAGAAGGTGCCTTAGGCAGGTGAGGTAAAACAAAGACATCATCACACAGTGTGATCAAATATCCCCCAACATCTCTCTGCAGGTGGGGTCCAGTAGAAGAGCATTTTCCTAGAGTGCTCAAGGTCCTGAGTTCAATTCTAAGCACTACCCCCCAGGACCCCCAAAACTGTAAATAAAGCAACAATACCTTCCACTTTTCTCTGTTAGAAAGAAAGAAAAAAAAAGAAAGAATGGAAAGAAAGAAAGAAAGAAAGAAAGAAAGAAAGAAAGAGAAAACAAATATTTAAGAACTAAACAAGACTGGTTATTGTGGCATGTGCCTTTAATTACAGCATTCTGGAGGCAGAAGATGTAGCAGGATCTCCAAGTTTGAGGCTAGCCTAGTCTACTTAGTGAGTTCTAGGCAAGCCAGGGCAAGAAAAATCTTCTTGCTGTCAAAGTACTTAGCTAATGAATGTTTACATACAGAAGTAGGACAGTGCCTATCCCTTAGTTGACTCATTCTATCTTTCTTCCTTAAATCTATTATCAAATAGCCAAGAGATAAAGAATCATGGGGGTTTTGTCTTACCGTTTGCTCAAGTTAGATCTCTTCTCAATTAGAAAGGGACCTGGGCATCTTTCTTCCACAAGCTCCCGCAAGGAAAGACGGACTTCTTCCCCAAACTATCTTTGGAGCAAGGGCTCTCCAATGCTAGCTGCGCCAAGTCTCCGACTGGAGCTTAAGAACACTGTGCTAATGTTCTTAGGGACGTGAGGACTGTGTTCAGGTCTTTGCGCCCATTGGAAATCAAGAGAACAGAGCTCTCGTGAAGCTCCAAGAAACCACATAAGCTCCAAGAAACCACATAAGCAAGCAGAAGCAAGGTGCTACTATAGCAGTAGTAGAGGCACTACTATCCCCAGGGCACATCTCACAGGGACCTGAACTGCCAGTTGAGTTCTAGGGCTCAGCTTGGCTTTAGTGACTTGATGAGATGCCAAGAACATGTGCCACCCCACCCACCAAAGCAAGAACAAAGCTACAGCAGACACCATTTCAAACCTTCTCTTCTCATTAAGTCTGAGCCATGACTACTCTGAATTTTTCTGCAGAATATGCAAAGTCCTGAAACCCATATGAATATTGGGATTGTGGGTGCTGCCAGCCCAGAATTCATTTCCAACGTGATTTTATATTGTTGCAGCGTGCCAGCCAGCATAAATACACACGCATACACACATATATAGAGTTTCCTATTTTTGCTCTTTATGTTAATTTGCAAAGATTTTCTGTCTGGAATTAATCTTGAGCGTTCTGATTTAGCTTGGAGGTAGGGTAGGTTATATGTTTTTCAGCACTGGACATGAGGGAGCAGCTTACCACTGTTCATAACTCCAACTCCAGGGGATCTGATGCCCCCTGCTATCCTTTGTGGTCTCTGAGGGCGCTGAGAGTTATACACACTGATCCACAGGCATCAGATGGAGAGACTGTGTAACACACTGGGCATAGCTTGGACATATGAGACCTCAAAGCCCATCCCCACAGTGACACACTTCCTCAAAAAGGCCATATCTGCTCCAACAAGAACACACCTCCTAAGAGTGCCACTCCCTATGGGCCATACCTATTTGAACCACCACAACCCCAACCATAAAATTATTTCATTGCTACTTCCTAAGTATAATTTTGCAATGTTATGAATCATAATCTTATAAATCTGATATTCAGGATATCTGATATGGGACCCTAAAAGGGTCACAACCCACAGGTTGAGAACCACTGCCCTAGAACAGTCCATCTTGTTTTAGAGATAGTTTTTTACTTAACCTGGAACCTCCCTGATTAGAGTCAGCTGTCTAGGCAGTGAGCCCGTGGGGTTCTCTGTCTCTGCCTCCCAGCACTGGGATCGTAAGCATATCCACCATACTCCGCTCACATGGGTTCTCAGAACCAAACGTAAGCCCTCGGGTTACAAACACTTTGCTAATTGAGTTAGTATCCCAGTTTGTCTTTCCTTAATCTTGTTCAGTCTCCATCACTAAGTAACCCAGACTAGCCTCCAACTTGTGCC